CCCTAAATAATTGTCATTTTTCCCCTGATTATCCCCACCCCCTCAAGCACTTTAGAGCATACCCTCCCCTGCAACAGAAGCACCCCTTCCTGCTGGAGCTCATTTTACCCTCGAGCTAGAGGACCTCTTCCTGCTGTAGCCCACCCTTCCCTCCAGCAGGAGCACACCTTCCTGCTGAATGGACCTGTGTCTCTGTCTTGTCCAACACAGCATTACCCTTATGTGAGTTATACTCTGTTAGTCTGTATGCCTGAGTTGTATGATAGGTCCCTTTTCCCTCTTTCCTCTTCCCTTTCTTTCCCATTGCTTGCACTAAAGCGTTGAATTGAACTCACTCCCATTATTTTACAGTTCATTCTGAGCACCTGAATTCAGTAAGGAGTTGTTTTCCTTGGTGTGTCTGGCTGGCCTACAGGCTTTTCCTTAGACATAAACTGGGTACACCGACAAGGACTTAACCTATTGGTGGCCACATCTACGCTGGGGTGGGGTAGGGGATTGTGACCCCCAGTTATATGTAGAAAATAAAGGTCACTAGGGAACCCTATGTTCTTCCAGGATAGAGGACTATCTCAACACAATTGGTGCAAGAAGCAGGATCTCTGTCTAATTAAACTTCCTCTATGACCCCTGGTGACGATAGGTTCGAAGAGGACACATGTATCACATCCTCATATTAGAATGTAAGCCATTTATCCCCCCTCGGTTGTTTATCATTGTTTGTGTTTACCTTTTTATATTTATCTTACCTCCTGTGTTTGAACATTCAATACAGCTCTGGTTTTTTCATAAGGAATTCTTGGAGGTATTCTGTTTCATTAAATATACATTTCCTCTCTCTGGTACTATTACTCAGCTTTTCTGGGAAATTTATTCTGGCTATAAGCCTAGATCTGTTGCTTTCTGGAACATCATATTCCAAACTCTCCACTCATTCAGAGTGGTAACTCCTGAATCATGTGTGATTTGATTGTTGCTCTTTTGTATTTGAAATCTTTCTTTTTGGCTGCTTTGCAGTATTTTCTCTTTAACCTGGAAGCTCTAGATTTCGGTTATGATGTTTTCCTGGGAGTTTTCATTTTAAGGTTTCTTTCAGGAGGTGCCTGGCAGATGCTATTTCCATTTTGTCCTCTGGTTGTGAGGGATCTGGGTAGTTTTCTTTTAAGATTTCTTGAAATATGATGACCAAGCTGTTTTTAGGGTCATGACATTCAAATAGTTCATTAAATCTTAAATTTTTTTCTCCTTGATCTGTTTTCTAGGTCAGTTGTTTTTGCTGTATCTTAAATTTTCTTTTCTTTTTTCCATCTTGCTTTAATATTTCTTATTGTTTTATGGAGTCATTTGCTTCTACTTAGTCCATTCTAAGTTTCAGGGAGGTCTTTTATACTTCCAGTGCCAAGGTACTAATTCCCTTTCTAAGTTTTTCTTCTATAGCTCTCTTTTTCTTTCTTCCATTTTCCCCCCTGTAGTCCTCTCATTTCTTTGACAAAAGCATTTAAAAATTCTTTTTTTTTTTAAACTCTTGTTCCATTTCTTCCAAATTCTAGTTGAATTTGTCCCAAATTAAATTTCTTTAAGGTTTTGCTTGTGAATGTTTTCAGGTCATTCTTTCTTCATAGTTTGTCTTGAGGATCCCTGCCATCATATTAGCTTTTTAGAATGGGACTTTCTTTCCACTGCTTTCTCGGGTGTTGAGCATTATGGGATTTCAAGAGCAGCTTATAGTAGTGTGATACAGGGAAAAGTCTGATGACTCCCCCCCTCCCCCGAGTTCTGTGTTCTACGAGTTCTTGACCTCAGTTTGAATGTGAGCAATGGTTGGTGAACCGCTTCTAGACTACTACTATTAACCATTTGGGAAACTGTGCTGCTTCAGAGTGACAGCTCTGCTTATTCCTCTGAAGATTTTGGACTGTGCTAGAAGCTGGCCCTGAGATCCTGCTCTGCTCCTAGGGGTTCTCATCACACAGCTACTGAGAACTTGTTCCTCTCTTGGTTCAAATTCAGGGCTTATGGCCTCTCACTAATTTACAACACTGCTCCTGGAAACAGGTCTCCTCCTTATTCTACTCTGAGAAATGTGACCCACAACTGGATAGGGTGTGACAAAGCTTGCCAGGTAGCACCTATTCCCATCACAGTACTCCAGTATGGGTCTAGGATTTCTTCTTACCCAGGTGCATAGCCTTTTCCTTGTGCTGGAGTGCTCCTTATGGCCATCTCCCGGCCAGGTCCCTTCTCCAGTGTCCAAAGATCTGTCTCTATATGTGGACCTGGGCTGGAAAAATGACTCACTGGCTTTTTCTTGGACTTCCCCTCAGGATTCAGTTTGGTGCATTTTCTGGATATTTGTTTTGGCTGGGAGCTCACTGTATTTCTTCCTGCTACTCCACCATCTTGGCTTTGCCTCCCTTGATAACAGATATTTCATATTTCAGCAGGGGATGATTCAAAGGGTTTTAAAATGAAGTGGTAAAGGGGGAACTCATGGCAAATAGCTTCTCAAACTCCCCACCCCTTACATCCTAAGCTTCTGATTGGTAAGCATTCACTTTATGTTGCTCAGACTCACTTCCCAGACATCTCTACACCATGTTACCTACCACTCACCCATTCTCCCTTCCCTTCCTAACTATAACTAGTTCTGAGAATAGTAATATCAACCTTATTATTGTTCAGTCATGTTTGACTATGTGATCCCATGGACAAAAGTCCATGGGATTTTCTTAGCAAAGATATTGGAGTGTTTTTTCTATTTTCTTCTCTGATGTGCCCCCATTTTACAGATGAAGAATTGAGGCAAATAGGAGTTAAATGACTTGTCCAGGGTTACACAGCTAGTAAGTGTCAGAGGCTGGATTTGAACTTGGATCTTCCTGACTCCAAGCCCGGTGCTCTAGCCACTGCATCACTTAATATCACCCTCACCATATTTTTTTTTTCCCTTTTTTAAAAATTAAAAAAAATTTTTTCCAATTACATGTAAAAACAATTTTTAACATTAGTTTTTTTTTTAAAATTTTGAGTCCCAATTCTCTCCCTCCCTTTCCTCTGTCTGAGACTGAACAATTTGATATAGGTTATACATTTGCAATCATGCAAAACATTTCTATTAGTCATATTGTGAAAGAAAACAGACCAAAAAAAACCACAAAAAGAAAGTAAAGAAATTGAAAAATAGTATGTTTCCATCTCCATTCAGACTCCATCAGTTCTTTCTCTGGAGGTGGATAGCATTTTTCATTAGTTCTTTGGAACTGTCTTGGATCATTGTATTGCTGAGAATAGCTGTTATTCATAGTTGATCATTGTACAATATTGCTGTTACTGTGTACAATCTTCTCTTTGTTCTGCTCACTTCACTCTGTATCAGTTCATGTAAGTTTTTTCAGGTTTTTCTGAAAGCATCCCTTTTGTCATTTCTTATAGCACAACAGTATTCCATTACAATCATATACCACAACAACTTCACCATTTCTAAAAAGTGGGACATGTTGATTAGTTGCCTTATGACCATTTCCCTCCTCCCCTGGACACCTCTATTCCCCATCACCCCTAGATTTTGTCTTTCCCTATTAGAATGTAAGCTCAAAAAATAAAAATAAAATAAAAATAAAAAATAAAAAAACAAAAACACCCCAAAAGAATGTAAGCTCCTTGAGGGTAGGGAGCTACTTCCTCAGTGCTTGGCACACAATAAATGCTTAATAATGCCTTTTCATCTATTCATTCTATTTCATTATAGTATTGAGTACCTTGTTAACTTAATTAGGTTTCTGATATTAAAAGTAGTAAATTAGCTCACCTTCAGATGCCAAAAACATTTATTTAGGAACACTTTCCCCCCTTCCCCCAGCATATACCCATGCAAACATATACACATATATACACACACAGCTACATGGACTTATAGTAAAACAAGTTGGCATTAGAAAGATACTCCTCATTAAGGACTGTAAGATGAGTGCTTTCAAATTTGGGCTGATGGTCTGTTTTGAGGTGAAGCTGTCCAGACCAGAAATTACACAGACTGGAGATCACTGGCTGAACAACTTATGAAGCTGCTGTAAAGCTGAGTGTTTATAGTGCTTAAGGAGGCTGGGACAATTCTTAATCGATTCTTTAAAACACTGCAGTTTTTTCACTTGTTGAAATAGAACAACCTGACCCTGAAGAATCCTAATGCAGGTAATGTGGGATTCCTGGTTGATGGGGGATAGGGCTGTTTATAAGAGGGGAATGATGGATAAATGACTGAATGGAATTCTCCCATTGGACAAATTGAATATATGATTGTTACAAGCATTACATCAATAGAATGTACGTGACAATCTTTGATTATTATCATAGACCCAATTAGGGTTACCTACTCAGTACAATGAGATAGAGCTCTTCATGTAACAGGCAATTATTGAGATCTATTAACCTAGACACTAAAGATAAATGTCCTAAGAGAATATTGCCATCACGAGTTCAAGGACGCCACAGGAGAATTCAGATTCATAGGTGATGAAACAAATACTTAAGCACTATTGCATTATTGCCTAATTTATAAATTAGATCATACATGTTTTAGTATATGAACCATACTCACTTGGAGGAAGAGCAGTTAGTTCTTAAAATCATAAGTCTTCCACTAAAGGTTTTAAGATCCTTAGAATTATGATTCTGAATGGCTTAAGTCCCATTGGCATTTGTAGTGTCTAATGCTATGCACACAGTGGGCACATTTGGGGGTAATAATGTAATAATTCAAAATTGAGTATAGTATCATAGGTGAAGGAAGAAAAACTCTCTTGATAATTACTTTTTGCCCTTCTTCCTCCTGTTGAATTTCTGAAGGCCATCATAGTGTAGGGTTTTTAATTTGAATAATTTTTATTGTAAATACAAATATAAGCTTTATCCTTCAATAGTTTTTTTTGGAGATCCACCAAGAATAAGCAGAGTTGAATAAATATCATATACTGGCAGGTTAACTCTTAAAAAATAAATTCAAGAATGATTGGAAGATACAGGTTGGTGAGTACAAATGCAAAGAGTAAAAATTCTCATCAGCTTCCCCTTGCTGCATACTGACAATTGGCAGCAGACACTTGAACAAATATTTAAGTAGCCATGAATGGTTTTTTTTTAAAAACAAAAAAAGTCTTGGTGCTGACATCTTAAGAAGTGAAGTCTTCATATGTAACACAATAATTAGCACATCTTCTTCATTCAGTGGAAGAGATAACAGAAGCTTTTTTTTTGTACTTGTCTACAGCTTCTTTAATATTTTCCAAGAAATCTTCAGCAATGAATTCTTCGCACTCTTTGTCTACTTTAACAATCTGATCCTCAAGATGCTTCTAGAAGAAAAAAAATTAAAATTGTCAATAATTTAAAACAAATGAACAAAAGAAAAGCAAATCAGTGAAACTTTTACTAGTATTTTCAGTTTATGATGATCTAAATCTAAAAGTATGAGGTAGGTTGGTAATAAGATATAAAGCGCCACTGAGCTGAGCAAAAGAAAGTCTCAGTTTTCCAAGAGCTTATGTTATAATGGGGGAAGATAACACACAAAAGGGAAGTGAAAAGAGAGGGGGAGGTAAAGTCAAAAGCCCAGTTAACTGGGAGAGGAATGAAGGATGGCTGGCCTGGGTTTCTCTACAAAATAAAGGCCCTAGAAGGAAATCAGTTTTTCCTTTTTCGTTTCATCCCTTAAGATACACAAGTTAGGGGCAGCTAGGTGGCACAGTGGATAGAGCACCAGCCCTGAAGTCAGGAGCACCTGAGTTCAAATCCGGCCTCAGACCAAACACTTGACACTTACTAGCTGTGTAACCCTGGGTAAGTCACTTAACTCCAATTGCCTAAAAAAAAGTTTAAAAAAAAAAGATACACAAGTTATAGGAGTGCTACTGATAAACATTTTTTCTTGTAGAACAATCAGTTAAAACACGTTCTACAGGACAGAAGGAGAAATGGAGCCTGGTGTGTAAGATCAGGTACAGAGGCACAGTGTGCTGTTTGGCCTGGGTCAAGAAGGAAGAGACATTAGGGCTTCCATTTCTTCAAATGATACAATTTTCTAGATGTCCTCCACTTGAACAATGTCGTTCTTAAGAAGTTATGTGCCAGGAACTAAACACCATACTCTAGCTTTGGTTTGATTGAGACAGAGAACAGAGGAACTATTTCTTCCCCAATCCCATGCCTATTTTAAAGCAATTTAAGATCATAATCTTTTTTTTTGGCTCCTTATTACACTTTTGCCTCAGAGTGAACTTTTAGTTCACTAAAACTTCCAGATATTTTCAGATAGACTCTTATCTAGCTATGCTTACCCCTATTTCTGTATTTTAGTAAAAACATTAAGGTCATAAATGAGACTTTATTACAATCTTACTAGATTTAACCTGCTGAAATCTGTGGGTTTTTGCTTTGCTTTGTGTTTTTTTTTTTTTTTGCATCCTGTCTTGTGATAGCTATCCTCTTCCTAATAAAATTGGGACAAGGGCAAACTCTAAGACTTTGTCACTAAAGCCCCTCCTTATAAGCTGATAATGAACCATCAATGACAGTTCATTGATTACAGCCATTCAAACCCTTTTGAACCCACTTAACTGTATGACTGCTTAGGAGATAGCTCTAAATTTTATCCTTAAGAATAGTATTAGGTGGCCTCAGACACTTGACACTTATTAGCTGCCTGACCCTGGGCAAGTAGCTTAACCCCATTGCCTAGGCCTCCCCCCCCCAAAAAAAAGAATAGTATTAGGGAGTTTGCCAAAGACTGCATTAAAATCTAAGTAAACTATATTTACAGTATTCTTGAAATCTACTAGTCTAGTAACCTAGTTTTTTTTTTTAAAGGAAAATGAGTTTAATTGGAAATAATGGTTTTGAATGAAGACATAGTTCATTGTTATTTTATCCTTAGTTTGTTCTTTCTCAATAAACTCAGGATATGTAAACAATCTCAAAAGATTTGAAATTCATGCATTTAATTCAGCATTAATTAGTAAAACCCCTAAGAGTTAAATTATCTTTATATACTAAAACCCAGTGATCTGCTACTGCTGGATGTTGTTTTTGGTACCTATCATTATGCAGAGAGATTAAACATACTGAAAATGTCTGCAATGTTTATGATTACAATTAAAGCCACAGACATACACAGAATCTAATTTAATTAGTGTAGAACAAAATTTTTGTAGAATATAAAAATTAGTTCTAAGTGTTTTTAAAATAGGAAAATAGAGCTCTAGCTGAAGGAATTTTAAATTAAGAAAGATCTCAGTGTTTCCAACAAATTTTTACTTACTTCGACACATCCAACATGGGTTGCAACCATTTCTAGAAGATGCTGTAAGTTATTGCTCACTTTTCGTCTTTCTTCAGTTGTGGTTTGTAACACCAGCTGGTATCTGTTGAGTAAAATTTTTGCTTAATTCATCTAAGAATTTTAACCAGTTCCTTGGAGGATGTAAGGACTTAAATGGATAGGCTGAAGCAACACAATAAAAATGATGCTCCCTAAATTTACTCTGTGTCAATTTTCAGTTATTCTGCACCAATTAAAATCCCAAAAGAATATTTTATAGAGCTGGAAAAATAATTTAAAAATTAAAGTGGAAGAACAAAAAGTCATGAATCTCAAGGTGTGAAAACATAGCAATTAATATTTCCTTTGAATTCTACTGTACTGATTTTACAATGTAATTGATTTTACGTTGTACTGATTTTTATAGCGGTCAGCATCTGCCTCAACTTAACCCGCTCAAATATTCAGCCTCTCCCAGTCGGAATCGGCTTAGAGGCGTGGTTGAAGGATAGCGTAGCTATAGCTCCAGGAGCTAGCTCCTACGATATCAGTTTGCTAATCAGTTTAATTCGGGACTTATGTTTTCTGTCAACAACTGATCAGCTTAAGGTGGAGCCCCAAAGACAAGTCTTCAGTCCTCCCTAGTCCTTTGGTAATTAGAGGAGGGTTGATCTTCCCCAAGGGGAAAACCAATCTGGTGGTCCTGATTTAGGCAGTTCTAATGCTAGTCTGGAGGTGGGTGAGTTCCATAAAGGGAAGAATGTTCCCTAATGGTCAGAGAAGGGCATGAATAGCCACACCTGAAGGCCAACCCACTTTCCCCAGCTTCAGCCAATGGGATGACTCCCCAACTACCCTATAACCACTCCTTTCCTGCAAATGCTCTTTTCCTTCTCATGAGGGTCGCTGGCCTGACTGAGAGGGCTAGTCTGACCCACTTTATTAATAGTACGTATCACTATTAATAAGCTGATCTTGCTTGAAGAAAGGTGCTTCAATTTCCCTCTTATTGCATTTTACTCCCAAAAAAGGGAAAAATGGGGAAAAAAAAGTGAGGAGGAAGGAGGTTTATCAGTACCATACTTTAAACTGTATTAAAAAGCAGTAACTATTAAAAGAACTTGATTTGGTACACGTTAAAAATTTGGGAATTTGTTTTGCCAGACTACGTAGATATGAGGTGAGGGATTTTTTTTTTCAGGTTTGTTTTTATATTTTAATTTGCTTAAGAGAAGCGAGCAGTGGGACAGATTCATAAAAAATACCTATTACTTGAAAAAAAAGAAGGAACATATCAATATAGAGAAAAGGTAGAGTGATACCTTCAAATGCCCTTTTAAAAATTATATTTTCATATTGACTTCCATTATAATTTATTAGATTCTTTCTACAGAAATAAATTTAGCTATATCATATAATAAAACCATATAAATATTCACTTTTGATTCTATTATAGGGATATGTATATATATGCGTGTATAGTCTCTGGATACATACACACACACATACAAAACTGCACTTGGTTTACTTGTGCAAAGCTTTTTATTTTTATGTAATCAAAGTAGCTAATTTTACTAAATCATCTGTTGGTGATAGATGCATCCCCTATCAATAACTGAGAAATTAGTGAGCAATTTTCCTTCTTACATTTTTTGGCTTTAATATAGCTAAAAAAAGTTTTGTCAATAACTTTTGTTTTTACACCACAGTGATTTCCATATTTTACCACCAAATCACATAGTAAGCCTTCTCTTGAAGCAAAGAGGTAAGTAAAATCAAATGACATAATATGATGTCACCATTTCTCTTTTTAACAGTATGACTTTTTATATGAACATTTATCTATTTGGAATTGCAGTATATGATGTGAAAATTATATTCTGAACTTAATATCTGCCAGATTGCTATCCAAGGTTTTCTGGCAGTTTTTGCTGAATAAAAAAGTCCTTTACCCATTATCAAAGAGTTGACAGCATATCTATTTCTTTCTAAGTCTTGTTCATCTCTGTTTCACTGATGAACTTTTCTTTTTATCTTTTAATAATTGGTGTTTTATAAGATCTAGTAACAGAAAAGACATTTTATTTGTATTCCTTTTCTATTTTTCTCTAGATAGTTTTGACCTTTTGTACCCCCCAAATTAATTTTACCCCCTTTGCATTTAATGTCTATCCTGTCAATTTCTTGATTTATTGGTAAATTAATCTTTAGTGGTATGTTAAATAGTAATGATGACAGTGGCAATCCTTCCTTCTCTTCATCTTACTGAGAAAGTTTCTAGTTCTTCTGCATTACAAATAATGCTACTTCTTGGTTTTAAGTAAAATTTTTTGGCTTACACAGCTATGGATTTGCTATAAGAATTTATATTTTTTCTCATTTATGCAATCCTTTGAGGGTTTGCAAAGCTCTTTACAAGAGCTACCTTATGGAGCAGCTAAGTGACTCAGTGGATAGAGCACTGACCCTGAAGTCAGGTGGACCTGAGTTCAAGTCCAATCTCAGACAGTAGCTTGTGTGACCTTGGGTAAGTCAATAAATCCCAAATGCCTCAAAAAACCAACCCCCCCCCATACTATCTCATTTGACTGTCATAACAATGCTGGGACTTAGGTGTTATTAATATTCCCTTTTCACAGATGAGGAAATTGAGGCAGATGGCAATTAAATTACTTGCTTATGGTCATATAGCTAGAAAATGTCTGATGTAGGATTTGAATTCAGATGTACTTATAGTCCTGCTATATTTTTCAGCACATTTATTTCACACACACATTTATTTCAGCACCTTTATTTCACACACACACACACACACACACACACACACACTTATTTCAGCACATTTCACAGGGATTATTTCCATTTTCTTTTCTATTTGGTCAATTCTCATGTTTGTCTTCAAGAATTTTCCTTTGCTGTACCAAGGTGATGTTTTTAATCTTCCTTAAGTTCAGGAAGATCTGAGTTCAAATGTGACTTCAGATATTTACTAGCTGTGTGACTCTGGACAAGCCACTCAACTTCTCTCAGCTTCAGTCTCCTCAAATGTAAAATGAGGATAATAACAGCACCTACTTCCTGGGGTTATTATGAACAGCAAACGAGATAACATTTGTAAAGCACTTAGCACAGTGCCTGGTACACAGCAGGTACATAATAAATGCTTGTTTCCTTCCTTCCAAAACTTCTCTCTTCAACCTTCCCATACCACTCATTCTCCTTCCTGTAGCCTCACAGCTGATGATTTTATTTATTTATATTTTAACTGAGAAAAGAGGCCATTAAGTATTAGAACTTTGTTCTTGGCATTTCCAACCTGCAGGACTCTATCCCTCTTTTCTTCTCTTTTACTTCAGTAAATCAACAGGTATATAATATATGCTTCTTAAACACTTGCTATAAGCCAGGCATTGTGATAAGCCAGGGCACAGAAAGACAAAAGCAAAAACAGTCCCCGCCCTCAAGGATCTTATATTCTAACTAAAGCCAAGCAGAAGATGCATGCAGAGTGAAACAAGGTAACCTAGAGGGAAGATTAGAAATCTATGATAAAGAGATGGCTCTTCTTGCCTAGACCAGTCCCATTAAATGTACCCATGATTCTGTCCCCTCTCACTTTCTCCAGCAGATCGTCACCTCAATTATCTTTCCCTCTATCTATTCCTCCATCCTTTCCTATTTACTAGTTCCTAATACCTTCAAATATGCATGTCTTCCCTATTTTAAAAAATAAACAAACCAAAAAAACCCCTCATGATATCTGACCATCCTCCAAGCTATAATCCTCTATCTCTTCTTCCTTTTCTAGCCAAAGTACTAGAGAATGTTATCTACACGGGCTGCCTCTTCTCACTTTTAAACCTTTGTAATGTAGCTTTCTAACCTCATCACTCCACTGAAATAGTTCTTTCCAAAGTTATCGTAGGATCTCTCTTATGCCAAGTCCGATGGCCTTTTCTTACTCTCTTTCTCCTTGGTACCTCTGAAGAGCTACTACCACCTTCTCCTTGCTTCTCAGGGGTTTTATAACATGACTTTCTCTTGGAGTTCTCCATCTACTTGTCTTATGGCTCTTTCTCATCTCAGTCTCCTTTGCTATTTTATCATCCATATCATGCCATTTAATTGTGAGTACACCTAATTCTCCACACTTCTTGATAGGGAACTTCATCAGTTCTGAAGAGTCAAAAATCCAGAAATGCCTCCTCCTTGGCTCCCCAAAAGTTTTCAACTCCAACAAAAATTAAGTCCATGCTCTATATTCCCTTTCTCTCTCTCTCTCTCTCTCTTTTTTTTTTAGCAATTGGTGTTAAGTGACTTGCCCAGGGTCACACAGCTAGTAAGTGTCAAGTGTTTGGTCTGAGGCCGGATTTGAACTCAGGTTCTCCTGACTTCAGGACCAGTGCTCTATCCACTGCGCCACCTAGCTGCCCCTCTATATTCCCTTTTTCAGACAACAAGCCTATTTGACTTAATTTTATATATAGTACTAGAAAGCCTCATCTTTTCAGCAGCATTGTTGGGGTAACCCAGATAGACTGAGTTTTTGTAGATAACCTTTTCATATGATTAAACTTTTAATTGCTTTTTATGACAAACTTTTTTTTTTTGGTGAGGCAATCAGGGTTAAGTGACTTGCCCAGGGTCACACAGCTAGTAAGTATCAAGTATCTGAAGCTGGATTTGAACTCAGTTCTTCCTGACTCCAAGGCCAGAGCTCTATCCACTGGGCCACCTAGCTGCCCCAACGACAAACTTTTAATGTTACCTACTTCTTGATGGATGGACAGTCATTATGATCATCACTAATACTTTGCTTGTGGTAGTGATGTCTTAAGAAGGCTGTTGAGGTATGTAGGACTACTTGCCCTGACACTTGGTGGTCTGCCCCAGGCTTCTGAGCAGTTCTGAAACCTAGGACTATCTGTTTTACAGTTATATAAACATGTTCTTGTACAATATGGAAAGGTGTCTGTGTCTAGGTTGTAGATGAGTCTTTTTTGGTGACCATACTGTACTCCATAGATACTTCACACACTGTTTCAGCTTCTGTAGTTTCAATTTCCCCTAAATGGTTTTTCTTTCTTTGATGGAAAAAGGAAGAGAGAACTGAAAGTTGCCAGATGACTCCAGATGAAGAGAACAGCAGGAGAGGGAGTTCACATTGAATGACCTCAACTTTCTCAGTAAAGTAGGAGGTGGAGCCTCCCATTGGAGAGAGAGAGTGGGAAGAGGGGGGAGGCTTGAGGAGAGAAGGTTTTGTGGGGAGTGAGATAGGGAAGTAATTAGGGGAAAAATAAAAGTATTATTTTGATGCAGTGAGGCCCCTGACAAAACTGGATAACATTCCATACCTGGAATATACTGCCTTACCTCCACCTCTTACACTCACTTGTTTACTGGAAAAATTAGCTCAAAAACTACCTTTTACATTAAGCCTTTCCTGACTCTCCTAACTAATTGCCAATGCCTTCCTTCTCGAAACTACCTTGCATTATGTATGTATGTATGGTCTTGTCTCTACCAGCAGACTCTAAGCTCCATGAGGACACAGAAGGCTTCATTTCTGTCTTCGCATCTCCAGTGCATTGGGCATATGATGTTTTGCGGCTAGGTGTTTTATTATCTCTTACTGTGATTCTAAAATACATTAGAAGACTTTGTGGTAAATGCTCAGTTGTCTTCTAGCAGTGTAGTTCTTTCCTTCTAGAGACTGCTTCTTGCTCTTTATTATATTAGAGTCTTTTTTGCTTATCCATTTTGTCAGTTTTTTTCTTTTAGTACTGCTGAGGGTTTTTCTTCTTGAATATGTCATTACTCGCTCCACCAGTTTGACAGAAATGGCTGGCTTAATTCAATTTTTACTCATTAATAATTTAAATTGTTTTAATTAAATGAAAATTCTCACATTATGCCTAGATACCATAAGTTATCTAAGAAATAATTACATATTTTTTCTTGACAAATATCCTGATAGTAGTAAGTAGGAAATGCCAAATAAATGGGTTTAATATTACATTTTCAATATTTTGCTTGTTACAGGTTTCCTGCTCCCTGATCATATCCATGCTATTTATCAATTTAAAAAGGTTAAAAACTTCATGTAAATTTGAATCCTTATCTCAAAAAACTCATTTGAATAAAAGGTGAACTTACTGCTGTTGAATGTCATCCAATTCACTCAAGGCTTCACTGAGGCCCTCATTAACTCCACTTTCAAGTAAATGTTTATGTTTATCCAGGGACTCCACTTCAGTGGTACATTTTCTGTCTTTCTCTTCAGCTTCCTTCAAGGACAAAGTCATAATTATCGTGTTTTAAACTGACAGGCATTTTACATATTTATTCGAAGTAATTCTTTTAAACAATTAAACACTTAACAGAAATAAAAATATTTCCCTTGTGCCTGCCCTGGTTATATACTGTTATGATTTTGATAATGTTGCATATATAGGAAATCAACCTTTCTGCTGGGAATTCTACATTCTAGAAGACTAGATGATTCTGGTATTTCATTATAGCAGGACTGTCTAATATTTATTCAGTGGTAAGTCCAGTTTCTAATACTAGGAAATTGTGTGATCCTTGATCTAGACGTTACATGTTTAATTTTCATTTGCAGATGATGAAGTCCTATTCCATACAGAAATTATATAAATGAAATTATAGGGTCTTAAATGTAAAAATATCAGCTATGGGAAGCAGTTTGCAAAGTATACTATACTTGAAATCAGAAATTCCTGAATTTGAATTTAATAGTTATTAATTATGTGACCCCCTGGGTAAGGCACAAGCCCCTTGACCTTTATTCGATCAACTCAATTTTCAAAGTGTCATATCCATGGCTATTCCTGCATCTAACCTTACAATACACTGTCTTTCATGACTATATTTTCTAGTATGTCATGTACTCTCACCTTGGGTACTAAAACTCCTGGCTGAGTTAGGTAGATATTATTCCAAATTAATATTAGAAATCAGAATATGAAAACATAATAGTATTGGGATAGTAACAACTGGGATAACGAGTTTAGTTTTAACATCTATTTCTATTAATTAAGGTAAAGAAGAAGCTATGTATTAATGTTTACTCCCTATCCCAGTGATTTTGCAGATTCTGAGCCTGGTTCCCACCTGTGAAATATAAGACTTGCAGAAAGAAAAATATATAATCAATGCACTAGTGGCCTCTACTCAAGAAAAAGTCTCTAATTTCTTTTTTTTTTTTAAGTCTCTAATTTCATATGGAAAAATAATGTAAGGGCATAACAAAGGTAGCACTGCAATAGATGGGCAAGTATGGATGTCTTGGGATTTTTGTTTCTGAAATGAAAACTTGCATTACTGAGATCAAAGATCCCTGTATATAGATCTACATATGTAGATATGTGTATATATACTTATATATGTATACCTATATGTGAGTCTATATTGATATCTATATCTACAGAAATAGAAAGACAGAAAAGTAACATAAGTTTACTATCTTTTTATTTTCTAATTTACTTTTCAGGTACTAACATATATCTAGCCAGCCAACTGTAACTTAATTTTGAGTGACAGGGACTGAGCCTGTGATTTCATTGATATGGGGAATTCCCAGATGAGGAAATTCCCTCTACCCATGCAGAATTTTAGGGAATTGTCCAGAGCACTGAGAAGTTAAGTGCCTTGCTTAGGGTTGCACAGCTAGTATATGGAAGAGGTCTGCCTGGCTCAAAGGCCAACTCTACCCCACTGCTCCGTGCTGCCTCTGTTTTGAACAAAGTCTCTCTAAACAGAGTGGGACATTTGTTCTTACCTTAAGTTTTTGTTGTTTAAGATCCTTCAGTTTTTGGACTTCGTCGTTTAACATTTTTGTACTTCTCTTCACTTCTGTCACCATTGTGTTCACCTTGAAGAATAAATCTTCGGTTTAAAAATCATCAGAACTACCACCAAAAGATGCTAACAAGTAAAATTGTTTTTTCAACGATTAACCAGTTAACCAGACAATTTCTGTCAAAGGTACCACCATCCTTCAGCCTCCCAGGTCTGCCCTCAATTCTCACTCTCCCTTACCTCATATATCTAACCAGTGATCAAATCTTGCCATTTCCACCATCACAACATCTCTTGCATTTGACCCCTTCTTTGTACTCATACTACCTGAAAGTAGAACAGGCTACCTCAAGAGGTGTCACAGTGGGGATTCTTTTTTGTGGACAAGTTAGACTAGCTGGCTGCTCTCTCAAATTCTGTGATTTTCTGCCACACACTATTCTACAGCCATGTTTTCTCCCATCCTTTGGATCACCTTTTTCCCCTGCCCCACTAACGTGTAATTTTCTATTCTGGGGTAGAAACTTCTAGTTTGCTGACTCTCTGATAGTTCCCTGCCTGTGATGTCAGGGGTGAGAAATTGGACCTACTAGAGCAGCACAGCATCCCTTCTCCTAACACACCTGAGTTGCTCTAATCTCAGAGCTGCAATAGTGCCCAGGCTACTCTCAGGAATGAATTCGCTCTTCTTGCCATGCATGACCTGAAGCCGGTTTTGCTAGACTACAATGGCAACAGCCCAGGTTGTATCTCTTTCTAGCTCTGATTTGGATCTGTTGTGTGTGTATGTAAAGTGAGGTGGGAGTGGTTGTAGTCTGAATCTGGAGGTATAAATCCTAATCCCAGTGAGAGGGTCTCACTGGGTAGCTACACTCATATCCTTCACTTATTCCTCCTGTATCATGTTCCTTTGGGTGTCTCCTGTTAGGCCACATGGTCTTCCTGTTTAGGTCCTTTAAATATGCCAAATAAAATGGTCTGTTGCTTTTAGTGTGAGAGGAAGTATGGACTGAGAGCCAGGGAGACCTGGGTTCAAGTTCTTCCTCTAGGTAAGTTACTATATCAAACTCAGGCCACACTGTAGCTGGTTAACACTCTTAAGTACCGCTTGAAACAGATTAAAATATAATTGGGAAGCATTTAACAAAAGAAATAAAAATACAGTAACACATAGATAATAGTAACTTGTAGTTTTCTATGTTATTTTCTTCCAGTTTGACACTACTGATTTAAAATGATAATTTACATAAGAGGTGATGGCAGGCATTGGTGGAGAATGTTTTCTCACCCTTTACCAACGCCATCAGAGACATGGTTAAAAAAAATTGCTTTCAGAATTAACTAACTTGTTTAACCATTCATTTAAAGCCTTTTCTGTTTCCAGCAACTGACATCCCAACCTCACAGGTTTGTAGTAAGTAAAGTAATTTGTAAGGCAATACAGATATGAGTTACAGTTATTATTTCTGAAGTCTTATCTTCTTAACTTACTTGTTCGAGGGTCTCTTCTGAACCCATTTTTTTATGTAGAACTTTGTTTATTCCTTCTTCATATTGGTTTAAGAACTCCTTAAGTGGTATCTATAAAACATGGGAAAAATGGTTTCTTTATAAAGTATGATTACAAAGGCATCAGGAAATTTCATTTTTGGTGTCTGTGGCAATCAGTGTCATTCCTTTTAAGTGACACTGTGTCTATGGAAAAGCTGTTAACTGCTCAATATGTTAAACTCCAGAAATGTAGCATATTATAATACCCTCTTAAGCTAATCAGATTAATTTAAAATTGATAAGTTTTAAATTTTATCAAATTTTTTTTCCAACATAAGTTTATTTGAAAGGATTTGCTATGTGTGCTAAACCGTCATCCAAATTTATATGCTTGGGATGAAAAGTGACCTATTGCATTTCTCTACTTTCTCTTCTGCAGAAGAAATAAAGGTAAATTTATGCTAATGGTGTGAGAGTGTGTGAACTGAGAGTACAAAGATCCTTAAACCAAACAGAAATAAAAAAGCCATTGAAAACCAAAACTAAGTAGAATTTTGATTTGAATAGTTATTGCCTTTATCCAAATAAACATTTCTGTACCAGAACTAGTCTATGCCATGTGTGGTATTTATTGAATAAAGAATGAACTAACCAAAATCCATTAATACTCAGTGGAGTAGATAGGAAAACATTCTTTAGATATCATTTGAAGATTAAGGTATAATCTGGGCAAGAAATTTCTCTGACATTCATAGATAAAGTACAATTCTTCATTTTTTAAAAAAAGGGTAGTTATAAGCCTTAATTCACAAAAAAAAGTGTTAAAAGTTAGTATTTGAAATTTAAAAATCTTATATGATCCATACAAACATCAATACTCACATAGATTTGCGTTCTGTATTTGACATGGTAGTTTGTTCCGGCTTCAGGATTAAATTTAATTTCAAAGTCATGACCTTTGGAATTCTCTGCACTCTTTGGAATGAGTTTTACTTTTCTAGCAAGTTTGTGGTATTCTGCCAGTTGTGCTTCAATCTAGAAGCAAAGCAACAACGTTACACAAAACAGCATCAAAATCAGCATTCTCTTTTCTTTTTTTCTGGCTAGGCAATGGGGTTAAGTGACTTGCCCAGGGTCACACAGCTAGTAAGTGTCAAGTGTCTGAGGCCGGATTTCCTCCTGACTCCAGGGACCCTAAAATCAGCCTTGTGTTAACTGGCTTTTAACTGCTACTCTGTTACAAGCTTTGTAACTCAAATAAACAAATAAGTAAATAAAAGTGGCACCAGCTACAAAAAAATACCCACAAGAATCTACAATCATTTAAACCCATTTATGGATACTTTTACAACAATTATTAGCTAACAAATAATGTCTTTGCCTTCTTAAGCACTCTTATTGTTTTAGTTTGCTGTCATATAATAGAAACTTCATTGAATGTCTACAATATACAAGTATTTATGTAATAAAGAATGATTCTAAAAGGAAAACCATGCTAGAGAACTTTTTTTAGATAATCTATTAGCATCTCAAATGTATCAATGAAAAACTGTAATTTTTACTTTCTCTAAGTGCATTTTCCAGATAACTTTTTATGTACCAAAATTTTAAGCTGTTTTTGACAAAAAATTTAATCCTACACTTACCTGCCTTAACAAAAGTAATAATTTGCTGTAGCTATTTTGTTTAATCATCACTGCCTAATGAACTTATATTTCATGTTAAAGCAGATGAAAACAACACGTCAGGACCCACCCTTAGACTAGATTCTCGGAACATAGTAAATTAGAAAAGTAAACAGTTTTGTGATAGTAAAGAATCTGAAACAAAGTAGATGCCCATCAATTGGGAATGGCTAAACAAATTGTAGTACGTGAAAGTAATGGAATAATACTGTTCTGTAAGAAATGACACACGTGATGAATGCAAAGAAACATAAAAAAAACTTGTATGGGCTGATGCAAAGTGAAATAAGCTAAGCCAAGAAAACAATATATACAGTAACTACAACATTGTAAACGGAAGAACCACACACCAGAAAACTAAAAGTGAACAAAACAAAATTATAAAGATCAAGTGTAACACAGATGAAAACATATGAAGACACCTCCAACCCACTCCCTTCATGGAGGTTGGAAGTCCATAGTTGTTACACCTTGCATATATTTTTTGACTTTTTCCAATGTATTGATCAGTTGTGCTGATTTTTTTTCCTACTTTAAAAAAAATCCTATTTGTTATATGGGATGGCTCTTCTGGAAGAGAAAGGATACTGGGGATAACTATGATGACATAAGAAAAAGAAGCCATCAATAACAATTTATTTAAAAACAAAAAAAGTGACTAGTATACTGTTTTATAACAGTAATACTCTCAAGGATTATGAAGATTTATATGACTTTTACAGCAATCAAGTTTAGACTTCTATACTGTTCTAGTTGTTTGTCCTATGACCTCCTTTGTGGTAGCCTCAGTAATCTGCTGTCATTTCTTAGCTTATGAACATGCCTTTGACTCCTTAGTGCCCCTCTCAAGGATGGGCCCTAGAAAAGTGGCAAACTGGGCCACATGTGGTTTGGGCCCAGTACTGCTCCCCTTTTTATACCCTTCCTTTATTCCCTTCACAGTTTTCATGTTAGCCTGTGACTGCCCAAAACTTTACCTTCACTTGCATATGCCAAAATTGCCTTCTGCTAATCAAATAGATTTTAACTATTAGACTATAGTTAAAATGTAAATGATCCTAGGTTGATAGAACAATAGAATTTGCATGCTAGAAAGTACTATAGAGATCATCCAATCTAACTACTTTTTGTAAATGAGAAAATTCAGGCCCAGAGAGGTTAACTTGAAAAAAATCACATGGGTAATCTGAAGCCAAAACAAGAACCCAGGTGTCCTTATTCCCAGTCCAATTATTATTAGCTCCTTACTGCTCCTAGGGGTACCAGCATTTAAAAAAAAATAGTTGTTACCTAAATGAAACCAACTAGTGGAATAAATAATGTTAAACAGTATGTAGAAGAGATTGTTTGGGTAAGGAAGGGTGCCTTCAAATCCCTTAATGTGAATCTTTATTTTTTTCAGATTCCTGAGTCTATCACAGACCCTAAAATCAACACATCAAAGCTCCTGTCTATTTCAGGGTCTGTGCACAAAGTACAACTAACTTAAGTTTATACATAATCCTTGGTTATTAGGATTACTTTAGCAACTGTCAGTTCTGTCTTTTGTTACTTTTTTTTTTTTTGGCTAGGCAATGGGGTTAAGTGACTTGCCCAGGGTCACATAGCTAGTGTTATGTGTCTGAGGCCGGATTTGAAGTCAGGTCCTCCTGAATCCAGGGCCGGTGCTCTATCCATTGTGCCACCCAGCTGCCCCTGTCTTGTTACTTTTAAGGAAGTAAATAATAGAAGCACTTTTGGGAAAAATGAAACTACAGATGCAAAACCAGATATGAAATACCTACAGATAGAGATGGTCACAAAAATTAATTCACACTTACACAGAGACACCTTCCCATATTGTACAGGAACATATTTATACTTGTGTAAAATACAAAGAAGTAGGTGTCAGAACTGTCTGACAGCCACTGAGGATAAGGGCAAATAGCTTTATATACCTAGATAGCCTCCTTGAGACATTACTATGTCACAAGCCAAGTATTAATAATGATTGTGATGACTATCTTTAGCTATCAAGAAAAGAATTATTATTCTCTCTCTCTATCCTATTTCCTAAAGCAGGGACTTACTTTGTCATTAAAAAAAAGTTAAAAGTTTAAGCATATAAAAAGTGCAAATACAAAAAAAAAATTCAGTACTCTAAAATGCTGGATAAATGAGATTTTCTAGTGTTGTATAATAAGTGAAGTTAGATAGCCTGTTGTCTGAAAAAAGAAGCTTTTATCCTTAACAAGTATGGAGTTCTCCATTTTTGGTTCAGGTCTGGGCTTTTGACTATTCAGAAGTTTGAGTTTTACCAACAGGAAAGTGAAATATTATACGATAGGGCCAAATGTAATTTCATGTATTTCCATGTCAAAGAGCTCTACCTGTACAACAAACTTATTTTAGTAGGTCAACCCCTTTCCACTGGAGAGCCGGGAAACAGCAATTTTCCCTCTCAAGGTCCTCTCTAATTAGGTGTCAATTAGCAATAGTGTGACATACCGCTTCTTTGCTTCTAGCATACTTTAACTCTTCATTCCATAACTGCTTTTGTTCTGTCTCTAGTTCTGTGGTTAATTTTTTGATGGTTTGCTGGAATTCATTTCTTTCGTGATGTATTCTCTCGATGTCAGCAGTTGAATACTTTTGGATATCAATAATACTTTGCAGCCGGGCATTCTCTTGCTTTACTGCTTCTAATTCCAGTTCTGTATTAAGGAAAATATTGGTTAACTTTCCTGGATTCACCAGTTAATAATGTCACTACTTACTCCAACTAGCATGATTCCCCATTTAAAGATATCTATAATTTCAAGCTGTATTCACCACTCACCAATGAAAACAGTAGGGTTTAACTTCATTTTATGCATTGGAAAGTGACACAAACCTGGGTATCAAGCAAATACTTCTGTACATATTGAATTGTATCTTCCTACTCACCTTTCAGAATAAAAATAATTGGTGCATACCTAATTAATTCTACTTGAAAGGCCATGTGGCATGGTAGATTGAGAGCTGTCCTCAGATTCAAGAAGATGTGGGTTCAAAATATGCCTCTCCCACATACTGGCTGTGAGACCCTGACCAAGTCACTTAACTTCTTAGTGCCCTGGGTAACTCTCTAAGACTAAGATGCAATGAAAGTGACAACCTAGACTTGTAGAGCTTCCTCATCCAGGAGCTCCCAATAGCAATGGAATCGTAGGTCTAGTGCATCTCCCTGACGTTACACACGAGCATTCTAATGTCTACAAGGTATTCTGTATGCCAAGAAGTGCAGCTTAATGGAAAGAATGTTGGGCTTGGGGTCAGGAGGGGTATGGTTTTGAATCTTGCCTTTAGCACTTTCTAGCTCTAATCATGGCCATGGGTGAAGCCCTTTAAACATTAGGTCTTCAGCTGGAAAACTGGGATCCCATCTCAGACATGGGGTTGGGAGCTAATGAAATAAGACATGTACATTGATCTGCAAACTTTAAAGTGTCTATCCTATGGTCAAGCCACTGGAGATACAAAAATAAGAATGAAATAGTCTCAGCCCTGATGGAGCTTACAATCTACAGTATGATAACCCTCTGTAATAACTCAAATGGATAGCCTGTATATTCTTTTCACACTTAAATCAGAGAATTATTTCTCATTTCATTGAATTTTCATTGATTCCTTAGGCAGCTACGCTGTTTAGGCCCTTAATGTGTCAATTGACTAGGACTCAGTTACACAAGACTTAGATAAGAAGTCATAAGTGACTTACCTCTCATTTACTTCTCAGCTCCTTGTAATCTGACTTCCCTTCTCTACTGAAATTGCTCTGTTATTAAAATATTAAAGAGCCATAAATTGCTGAATATGACTGAGTTTTCTAGTCTTTATCTGCCTTTACCTTTCTGCATGATTCTCTTTATGACCCCTTACCCCCTGCTTGTTCCTGGATACTCTCTTTCGGGGCAGCTGGGTGGCACAGTGGATAGAGCACTGGATTCAGGAGGAACTGAGTTCAAATCTGGCCTCAGACATATGACACAACTAGCTGTGTGACCCTGGGCAAGTCACTTAACCCCAATTGCCTCACCAAAAAACAAACAAATAAAATGAAACAAAACAAAACAAAAAAAGATACTGTCTTCCAGTCAGCTTCCATGCTTGTTCCTTGGTTCTAGGCCTATTTGTCTGACTGCTTCTTCTCACTCTCCTCTGCTGGTTTATCATCTAAGCTCCTGTCTCTTAAGTTTGTGTCCCTTTGGGCTTTCTTTGATCCACCCCTTGTTCCTCTAATCTCTGTCCCTTGGGGATATCATATGTTCCTATGGGTCCAATCATTAATTTTATGATTCCCCAAATAGACATGTTCAGCCCTAGTCTCTTCATTGAACCCTCACCCTGTATCTCTAACAGCTTACTGGAATGTCCATCTGGATGTCCTACAAGCACTTCAAATTTAACATGTCTAAACTCAAAACAATTTCAGTCAGAAGGAGCCTCAGAGATCATATAGCTCAATCAATCCCTGACCAATAATTCTTTCTACTATATTCCAAACAAGTGGTCATTTGGGCTTCACTTGAAGACCATTAACGAGGGACAACTCATGTCTCCAGAGTCAGAACATTCCACTTTTGGATAATTCTAATTGTTACGAAGTTTTTCTTGTAGCAAGTTCAAATATGCCTCTATTGACACTTTTAAACCTTACTCCTAGTTTTGCCCTGTGGGGTCAAGTTGAAAATCCTAATCCCTCTTCCACAACACAGGCCTCTAAATACGTGAAGATGGAAACCATCTCCTTCCTAAGTTTTCTTTTTTTTTTTTTCCCCACCCCAAGGTCAAGATTCCTACTTTCTTGAATGAGTCCTTATACAGTACAATTTTCAAGCCCTTTACAATCCTACTCTTCTTTGGACCAGAGACTCTTAACTTATGGACTCCTGTAGCAGTCTGGTGAAATCTATGGATTCTTTCTCAGAACAATGCTTTTAAATGTATAAAATAAAGAGGATTAAAAGGAAACAAATTAGATGATATTAAAGTTTATGGTTGTTAGGTTTGTAACTCCTGCTTTAGAAATCCTTTATCAATTTCCTTCCCAAAATGTGGCATCTAGAATAGACTACAACATTATATGTGATCTGACTAGAGACAGGGTAAAAAGAACTTTTAACCTCTCTCAACTGAATTTTCCATCTTTCCTTCTACATTTACTCCTCTTCCCAATCACTCAGGCTTGAAACTTCAGTTATTTTGACTCTTCCCTATACCTTTCATCTCTTACATCCAGTCATTTGCCAAGGTTAGTCAATTTTACCTATATAACATCATGTTTGTCCCCTTCTTTACACCCCAACTCCCACCCCCACACCATCACCACCACTACTACCACTCTAGTCAAGGTCTCTGTCTCTTTCTTCCCCCACAATCTGGTTCCAACCTATATTTCTAGTTGTATTTCATATATCAACACCCTCCATAAATTCCTTGTTTTAATCAAATTGAATTATCAGGTGGGCACAGTGGATAGAGCAGTAGGCCTGCAGTCAGGAAGACACAAGTTCAAATCTGGCCTCAGATATTTTCTCCTTGACGTGGGAGCTATGGCATTTGGCTATGATAATCCTAGGAGTTTTCATTTATCTTTCAGGAGATGATTGGCAGATTCTTTCAATTTTTACTTTACCCTCTGGTTCTAGGATATCAGGGCAGTTTTCCTTGATTATTTCCTGAAATATGCTCTTCTTTTGATCATGGCTTTCAGGTAGTCCATAATTCTTAAATTATCTCTCCTTGTTCTATTTCCTAGGTCAGTTGTTTTTCCAGTGAACTAGCTCACATTTTCTTCTATTTTTTCATTCTTTTGATTTTGTTCAATTGTTTCTTGATGTCTCATAGTCATTAGCTTTTCACTTGCCCAATTCTATATATGTATTCTTTTTACTTTTTGGTGAGGCAACTGGGGATAAGTGACTTGCTTGCCCAGGGCCACACAGCTAGTATGTGTTAAGTGTCTGAGGCTGAATTTGAACCCAGGTCTTCCTGACTCCAAGGCTGGAGCTCTATCCACTGCGCCACCTAGCTGCCCCTCCCAATTCTAATTTTCAAGGAATTATTTTCTTCATTGAGCTTTTGTACCTCCTTTTCCATTTGGCTAATTCTAATTTTCAAGGAGTTTTTTTTTTTCATTTAATTTTCATACATCTTTTTTCTGCTTTTTTATTTTTATTTACTTTTTATTTTATTTTATTTTTTTCAGCCAAAGTTTATTAGAACATCCATTATATTGGGCAGACTCTTAAGGAGTCTGAACGTGAGTAAGCTATTGGCTACATTATAAGAATCTGAACAGTAGCTAGATTTTAAGAATCCCAGCCTTTTTCTGCTTTTTAAAGAAGTTTTTCTCTTCAGTGGATTTTTATGTCTCTTTTACTATTTGACCTATTTTGATTTTTAAGGTGTTATTTTCTTCAGTAATTTTTTTGTACTTCCTTTACTAAGCTGTTGACTCTGTTTTTATGATTTTCTTGCATCACTCTCATTTCTTTCCCCATTTTTTCCTCTATCTCTCTTATTTGGTTTTTAAAATCTTTTTTGAGCTCTTCTAAGACTTCTTTCTGGTCCTGAGACCAATTCACATTTTTCTTTGAGGCTTTGCATGTAGCTCCTTTGATTTTGTTGTCCTCTGGGTTTGTGTTTTTGAGCTTCCCTGTCACCATAGTAACTTTCTATGGTCAGGATCTTATTTTGTTGTTTGCTCATTTTTCTTGCTTATTTCTTGACTTTTAACTTTATATATATGTAAGTTGGGTTCTGCTCCTAGGGTTGAGAGGGCAATGCTGTAAGCTTCAGGTTTTTTTGTACTGCTGTTTTCAGAGCTAGTTCTGGGGTTTCAGTTCTTCCAAGGTAGTATTATCTAAGGAGAAGTGTGTTTACTATTCTCCTGGCCTGTGCATGGGTCTTTGAGCAACCACAAATACTCTTTTTGGCCCTGCAACTATGACTTGGGTCCCTGTTCCCCTGTGGCTGCAAGCTTTAAGGTACTAGTACTATTCTTCATGCTGAGATGACAACCTGGAACCACATGTGGGAAATACCACAGAGTCCCATACCCAGTGCCAGCAAAGGGTCTCCTATAATCTCTTTTTGAGCAGTTGTCTGACCCCCTAACCATCTGTGGGCTGAGAGCTCTGGAAGCTGCTGCTATGGATTCAGTAGCCCTCAAAGCTTGCTGCTGGGGCACGGCCTGTGCTCCACTCTCATCCCAGTGAGACATTCTAAATTGTCTTGGGCTGGAAATTGTTTCACCCTGTCCTTGTGTTGGTTTTGCCACTCCAGAATTCATTTAGAGATATTTTAAAGTTGTTTGGAAGGGAATTTGGGAGAGCTCAGGTAAGTCCCTGCCTTTTCTAAACTGTCTTGGCTCCACCTCTTTAGCCTTTTTTGAAGTTACATAGACTACTAAAAAGATGGCAATTAGTGGAGCTAAAAATGTGTATGCAAAACTTCCAGGCAGGTAAGTCAAGTCAATTCCCTAACATTGACATGTATGACCTAAAACTGCTAACAGTATACCATGATGTTGGCTTCCATGCATTCTGAGTAAAAATCAAACATTGAACCACATATTTATAGCAGAGGGGAACTAACAAGACATTAAATAAGTTGGGTTCTATACTAATTTAAAGAAACCATTTATTGGGATAGCACTTTAGGTATAAATTACACTTAGTAATGTTGGCTATATCTTGATTCCTGCTGTGAAATACAAAACATTTTTATTTATTCTTTGTCACTGACAGCGTTGAGTAATTTGAATTATAAGATTTCTGGGAAGTATTTAAAACGATTAAATATTTTTAAAAAACCTTAAAGACAGAGCTGTAGAATTAAAATACTACTAATGTTGTTTAGTTGTTTTCAGTTATATCCAATTCTTTGTGTGACCCCTTTTGGGGTTTTCTTGGCAAAGATATTGGAGTGGTTTGCTATTTCGTTCTCCAGCTCATTTTTACAGATGAGAAAACTTGAGGCAAACAGGTTAAGGGACTTGCCCAGTGTCACGGCGTCTGAAGCTAGATTTGAATTCAGGTCTTACTGCCTCTAGGCCTGGCAATCTATCCACTGCATCACCTAGCTGCCCTCAATTAAAATATGAGTGGATCTCAAAACATAGACTACTTCAGTAGTGCAAATGACCCTCAAAGTCTATCTAAGCCTCTTGGGTCCTCTTTGTCTCTGCAAATAAATGCTCACCAAAATAATAGGAAGAATGGCATTATTTTTGAGATTCCTATAAGGGATATGATTAAAATATGCATGCCAAAAAAGTATAGATATTTTTATAACAAGCTTCATACTGACTTAAGATAACAAAATCACCAAGTGAGCTAGTATGTCATATCGAGTGTGATTAGCAGCTTTTCAGATTCAGTGAATAACAAATACTCCAGAGAGGTCATTCTTATATGCATAAATATCATTCGAGCCATTTATTCTTCTTCTTTTTTTTTGGTGAGGTCACTGGGGTTAAATGACTTGCCCAGAGTCACACAACTAGTGTTATGTGTCTGAGGCTGAATTTGAACTCAAGTCCTCCTGACTCCAGGGCTGGTGCTTTATCCACTGCGCCACCTAGCTGCCCTTCCAGCCATTTCTTAAAAGGAATAGTACATCCTTACCCCACTACAAAGGGGCCTAAAAGAACACAGCTGGAAAGTAAGAATCAGCAACAATGGAGTGACAGCCCAGCATGGCTTTTTGTTCCTCAACCTGAGGCAAGTATTTGTACCCTTTGGCTTCTTTCCTCTGCCTTGCTTCTGGAACTGAAGGAGGAAGAGATAAGTATGCTATCTCTGCATCTCACTTTCCACTTCCTTTCCAGTCGGCTGCCTGTGACAACAGGACAAGAATAAGAATACACACTTTCAGGCACCAGGATACAGGTGTCCACCCACTTGCCAAGGGCCATTATAAGTGCTCTTCTTTGTCTTGTTCTGCCCTGTGCTCAGGGACCTGACATGGTTGGGAAACAGTGGGAGCAGAACCTGAAACACCAGTTATTACAGTGTAAGCGAGGCAGATAGGCAGCAGGAAATCAGCCAGAGAGAAGGAAAAATATGCTGGACAAAAGAAAGCTACATTCTTGGACTGGAGTCTTCTTGTCATTGAAAGAGTGAATATCTGAGTATTCACTAATGTGGTTACCTGTAACATCTAATATGTGACTTACCTCCATTAGGAGCTTCTTCATTAAGAACACCTAATTTCTGGTCAAGAATGACAGAATGAGACTCCAAATTGTTCATATATGCCTGGTACTTCTGAACATCTGCTTTTAAAGAAGCCTTCACTTTTCTTAGTGATATCAGACGATTCTTTAGGAGAAAAGAATATTAAATGTGTGAACAAAATAGAGTTTATCTCAGTCCAAAATTATTTTAAATATGAATATTCAAAAGAACTGATTTTTGCCAGGGTAGAGGACCCCAGTGTGGGAACTTCAACCATTAAGGCAGATCACAACTTATTTAAGACTCAGGAGATGCCTACTAGGGCCCACTACTTGAGGCACAAAGAAAAGGAGGATGAATTTAATTCAGGTCTTCCTGACTCTATATCCAACACTATATATTATGCCAATATCAAAGTAATAATGCTTAAATCTATTGCTAGAAATAAGCAAATGTTGTGATGTTATAGAGTTATTTAGGAAAAAGATTTCTTAATAAGGAAATAATAAGACGAGGAATTTAAAAGTCAGGGAGAAATTGTTTGAAAGTACTAATTTCCTTGGCACTTGAGAACTATATTATTTTTGTGAAGTCCATAGCCTAATTTTAACCTGAAAAATGTCTTGACTAGACAGTTAAATACACGTATTACAACTATCTAGATTAAGGTATCAAATTGTAATTATATAATGCTTTTAATTTACATAAAGTATCCAGTATACAAAGTGTGACACTAAACAAAAAATAAATCCTTTATCACTTTTCCCAGCAACCATCAAGGATCTCCAAACTGAGACATGAGACTTGTTTTTGACCTTATGTAAATGTACATGAATCTTGCATCAGGTGACAGATATCATTTGTTTAACCTACATCACACAAGGGACAAACAGATTCTAGAGAAAATAAAGCAACTTGCTTTCCAGAAGAGGTTCAATCTTATGGTAATGAAAATTTTACAAATAGAATTTCTTATAAACACATCTCTTTATGAAAAAGACAAAGCACCAAATCAGATGAAAAGGAATTGAGAGACTAAAAGAGCTTTTTGGCTCAAATTCCCAAGTGTACGATCTCACTAGAGACAGGCATGTTTACTAACCGGTTCATTTTCTTTCTCTCGTTCCAGCCTTGCAATTTCTTCAGTTAGTCTTTTGTTTTCTGAAGCTAAAGATTCCAGCTTGGCATCATCTATATTAAATAAGTCCTCTGAAAGGAAATAAAGCCCCCAAAATGTAGTTAATATGAACCATTAGTTATTCAAAAATCATTATTACATTTCATATTAAATTTTCCTTATAGTATATCTACTGGGACATTAACTGCTCCCTACTCCCCATCCTTTCAGTAAATACTTTTGAAAATGGTCTAGCTTGCTTTCTTCCCCATGTGAAGCAGTTGGCATAACCAGACCGACAGCCAGGAAAGTATCTCTCCCAAGAGTAAGTCATTATGAAATGGTTTCATCATTTTTTAAGCATTTACCTGCTTCCCGAAGGAAACTCTTTTGGCATTCAGATCTATACTTGCCCTTTACATAAACCGGTTTTTCAACATAAGTAATGATAGCAAGTAAAAGAAAATCATTGAACCTTTATAATAAACATTGTGGACTGAGTTTTATGGGAGTAGAATCAAATGGAAAAACAGACTAAGTCAGGGAACTTATGTTTTTATTTGCCAGAGAATGTGTGAAAGACTTTGGGCAACTTACTTAATTATACCTCAGGGCATGAGGATGCCATCTGTCCCCCAAGGGAAAGCATGAAGATCAATAGATAAGATACTTTTAAAAAGTGAAATCTCTACATAATTAAGATTTATTACGATGGTATATTAATAATTTAAAAAGTTTTATTATTTCAGTATTTAGTACAAGGCAGCAAATTTTAACATATTATAAATGAAGAATACTTACTTAGCTTTGAGTGTAACTCCGTATCTAAATCTTCAAAAGAATCAGCACCAGTCATGAAATTTTCATAGCATTTTACGGTATAGTCCAAAAACAACTGGAAAAGAGGGTAACAGATTTTTTTTTAAGTCACAATTTCTTAGCTACCTATTTTACTATTTTCCTTTGTGAAAAAGTATCAATTTCAATTAATAAAATAAAATAGCAAACATGCTAATAGGAACCTAAGAATACATAAAGAAATTTCATGTATTTCATCCATTTTAAGATTTACTCATACTTATGTGCTTTGATTTCTTAGTATAAAATGATACCAAAAGCAAGAATATCCTCTTTTGAATTAGTCCTTGGAATAACGGTCAAAGAAATGGAAGGTCGTTAAGAAGTATGAAATGCTGAAGGGTAATTATGTTAAAATGGACACACAGGGCAGGTAGGCCATGAGAAGGGAGGGGAAGAAGCATTTGCTAAGCACCTACAATGTGCTTAGGCACTGGGCTAAGAGCACCACACTTTAATCACCATCTCTCTTCAGACTTGATAAGAACAGCCCAGGACTTGGAATGCAAGAGCTCTGGGAATACTGACATTAAAGAAGAGGCATTAACATTTGCTTTGCTAAGTGGCAGCAAGATAGCACAGTGGATAGACCACTGGCTGAAGTCAGGAGGACCTGAGTTCAAATACGTCTTCAGACACTTGACACTTACTAGCTGTGTAATCCTGGGCAAGTCACTTAACCCCACTATTTATCCAAAAAAAACAAAAAACGAAAAAAAAAAAACCCAACCCCAAAAATATTTGCTTTGCTACTGAATCCTAAGGAGCATGGAATTTTTCCATCTGACTTGTACATAAAATGTTCCATGTGCTTCCCTTACTAGAATGTGGGCTTGCTAAGAGCAGGGGCTGTGTACTTTTCTTTTTGTATCCTCAGTGTTTAGCACAGTATTTTGCACACAGTTAATTGCTGTATTCATTCACTGAGTTTAGTGTGGATTCAAAAGCGGCAAGTCTGAGCTCTTTAGGACAAGGCAGTGATATCTTGCAGGAATCAGTACTAGATTAAGTATTTTTTAACATGCTGTTGGAACACATGCTTTATCTTCTATATGAAAAACTAAGGAAATTCTTTTGTTTTGTTTTTTTGATCAATAGTAATGGTGCGTTATATAGTGCTATACTCCCCTGGTGACCATTGCCATATAAAATGCACAGTTAGAATCAGAAATAGATACAGAACGATATTTCCCTTTAATTAAGGTAAACTAGTGAGCCTAGCCTCATTACAGCTATACTGTGACCATTAAAGTAGATTCACTAAATTTGATGTGCAAAATGTAGGAAACAGTCTGTCATGACAGTGTTGATTAGGGCCACATTAAAATAGCAAAGCTAGTACTGGGTCTTGTCACTTTAAAATATGTAAAGATAATAAAAATATTCATTTTCTAGTGCCTAAACCATCATGTAAGCCTTTTGTGGTATATGGGAAAGAACAATAGAATAAGAGTCATGAGACTTGAGTTTGAGCAAATCTGTCAAACATTACCCAGCTTTGTGGCCATGGGTAAGTTGTTTAACTATTCTGAGTTTATGTTCTTATTTAATAATAATAAAACCTAACATTTATGTAGCATGCACTATGTGCCAGGAACTGTGTATCAGATTCTTTAATTACATCTTAATTTAATGTACATACATCAGAACTTCAGAAAGAACACAAATCCTATATTTACATTAATTTTTATGTCATTGACACATTCAGTTCATTAACATCATGCCAACTCAAAAATAAAAAAAAATTCTGTGAGGTTAGGGTACCTTATTATGCATTATTCCATCTTCACTCTCTCCTCCCCAGGGCTGTCCATCATCAAATGAAGGTGAACTTTGTTTGCAGGCAAAAATGAGCTAAATAGGACATGGTAAAATATTTAGCTCCTCTCAAACACATTCATTACTAACAGATGTATCTCTTAAAATTTCTTTTTTTCTAAAACAAAGTATTATAGCTAAAAATATATTTATTCTGACATTGCTGTTTTCAGAGTACACTATGAGAAGAAGCCTAAATTCATAACCCTGGCTTTATTAGCAGCACTTTAATCAGCTACACATAATTATAAGAATTACTATCTTAACAAGGAATCCAGTATAATTAAAGAAATATTACTAACAAGGGATAATTCACTAAATACTATGATTAACAAATAGAAACTCCCAGGTATGGAAAGATTCCTTAAAACATAATGTATATTTGCAACTTTCACTGAATAATTTGATACTTATGTATCAAAGCACAATTAAAAATTTTAGCTTACTATCTCCTTCCCAACATTTTAGGAAATACCAACCAATGGCTAGTATTTGCAAATTTTTCATGTTCATAACAATATAATTAAATAGAATACATTCCCTTATTTCTTCTCATTTACTTTTAGTGCCCCAAGTGATTAGCATTTTGTAGGAAATCCTTTTGAACTTTGTTTTTAAAAGTTAAGTTTTTTTTGGCTAGGATAGGTATTAGTGCGTATTAATATTTTATGTTGATAACAGAATTTTCTCCCACATTATCAAACTTGAACATCTTTTAGCAATAAATGGAACATACTGATACTAATGGAAGTCAAAAACAATTGAAAGGATAAGAAACATAGCTCTAGGAAGATATTAGTGATAGTAGCTTCTGGATTATAATCTGGATTTCTTGATTCAGTACAATCTTTTATCCACAATCACTTAACCTCTGTTTGCCTGTTTCCTCATCTATAAAATAATAGCAGCTACCTTCTAGAGTTGTTGTGAGGATCAAATAAGATAATAATTTTAAAGCACTTAGCATAGTCCCTGGTACATAGTGATGTATAAATGTTAGCTGTTATTACTGGTGACCTAATTAGCTCCCATGGGCTTAATTTTCATCTCTATACTGATGACTCACAGATTAATATATCTAGTCTCAGTCTCTTTCCAAGCTTCAATCACTATTGGACAGTTCAAACTGGATGTCCCAGAGATATCTCAAATTTAACAAATCTAAAATGAGGCATTATCCACCACCCCCTAAACTCACTCCTCTTCCAAAATTTCCTATTTCTGTTGAAGGTACCACCATTCTTCTATTCTCCCAAATTCATAAATTTAGCACTATTTGCAACTCCTTCGTTTCATATATTCAATGAGTTGCCAAGTGTGTTTCTACCTCTATAACGTTGCTCACACTTGACTCCTTCTTACATGGCTACCACCTTAGTTCAGGCCCTTACCACCTCTTGTCTAGACTATTTCAATGACCTCCTAACTGATCTTCCTGTAATTTTCATTAAGGGCAGATCTGAACATGTGACTCTGCTAGTCAACAAAGTTCCTAGGGCGACTCTAGGATAAAATATACAGTTCTTTGGTCAGCTTTAAGAGCAGTACAGAACCCGGCCCTAACTCAACTTTCTGTTTTCATTGTACATTACTCCTCTTCCTCTGTGATCCTGACAGACTGGCCTTCTTTCTATTCCTCAAACAGGACACTGTCTTTCCTTTATTTTATTTATCTTACCTGTCTCCTTAGCAAGTAGCAGAGTGCCTGGCACAGAGAGGGTGCTTAATAAGTACGTGGCTGATCAAGCTGCAACATTAACTTTATAATTTAGATAATTGATAACACTTGATAATTTAGGCGAAGTCAGTAATCTAGAACTCTTTTTGAAATTATAACCCTAAAATTAGAACCTAAGCCACTTCTCCAAATAATTTTTTTCAATGATAATATTTTAATGCAATGCTACATTTCCATACAAAGTAGTGGGACTGAGTTTACAAAAAAATTTTTTAGATGGATGAACTTGTAGTGACTCAAGACACAATTGATTTGGTTGAACTACCTAGTTCAGAACTAAAAACCAGATTGAATTTTACAATATAAAAATCTTGACAACTTTTGGAGATATTAATCAGTTTGATAATATAATGCATATAATTTTGAGTGGAAAATTACAGCAAATTTTCATTTAGGGCTTATAACTGTAACTCATTGTTACCCTTGGACATTTCATTTTCAGGGCACTAATTGTGGTCCTCCACTAAGGTCCTACTTCATTATAGCCAGGGATGGGATGAGGGGGCGGAAGGTAGGAAGAGGGGAACATCCAAGGCTTTAATTATCAGCCTACGAACAGACTCTGTATGTTCCCTGAGGATCAGAATTTGTGGTTAGTAACTAACTTTATAGAGAGTTTTAAGGTTTGCAAAGCACTTCACATGCTATTTCATTAAATCTCCACAACAACCCTGTGAAGTAGGTGGTATTATATCTATTTTACACGTGAGGAAACTGAGGCTGAGAGAAGTTTTGATTTGTCTATGGTTACAGAGCTATCTGAGACAGGATATGAATTCAGGTCTTTTGAAGACTCCAAGTCCAGCACCTTGTTCACTTTGTCACCTAGTTGCTGAGGTGCTAAGAGATTAATCACCATAAGACTGGTCACCAGAAGATGATTTTTTCAGGAAATCATGAAACGCAGAGGGATTGAGATATGGATCTATATAAGGAGTTTCCTCTCAATGAAATGACATATCTTTTAAAGTACTGATGTAAAGGAACCTCTTTTCCTCCCTAATATAAAGTTTATGTCACAATAACTCAGAAAAGTTAGGTATAACTTTTTAAGAATGAAAATGAGAGAAATATCAAGTTTTAAAAATATTTTGATGTTTAAAAAATTTATATTTTTATTTTTTTACAATTTCACAAAACTATTTACTATTAAAATAAATTACTCATTTGTGTAACTTCAAATTATGGTACCTATACAACTAGGTGGAAAATATTAGTTACTGTTATAGTAAAGTAATTCACTTCTCATAGATAATGTTTAAAATATATTTTCTGACAAGAGAATTTCGGAATAGAAAACTTTGTAGGAAAAAAATTTAGTCATCTCAACTAAATGAGATGCGTCTTTTCTATTTAGTTTTAATTCACTTTTTTTGGGGGGGCTAGACAGTGGGGTTAAGTAACTTGCCCAGGGTCACACAGCTAGTAAGTGTCAAGTGTCTGAGGCCATATTTAAACTCAGGTCCTCCTGACTCCAGGGCCCTTATGTTACCCACTGTGCCACCTAGCTGCCCCTTAATTCACTTTTAAATGAAAGATTTTTTATTTTAATTTGGAATGAAAATTTTCAGATGCTCCTTGAGGTAATTAAAAATACTTCATGCTGAGGCACTGTAAAACTACAATTGTGAATCTCTGCTTTGTTTATTTATTTTGGGATGCAAAATATCCCTAAATTTTTAAAAGCAAATGTTTTAATCTTACTTTATTCAAATCAAATAATACCTTAACACAATCTATAAGCCAGTTCAAACCTGCCACAACATGAGGCCATGTATGAGGTGCTCCCACTGTATACATGGAGCTTTTTGGTAAAGTAAACGGATACCTATAAAAGCAACAATGATGTAGTTAATACATTAAACAAAAGAGTGGATAAAATAAGTATCTCATAAAAAAATCAATTAATGAACAAGTATTTGTTAAATTCCTACTATGTGCTAGGTACTGGGGATATAAACATAAGGAGTCAAACAATCTTTACTCACAAGTTGCTTACTTTCTCATTGGTGAGACTAGGTTATATTAAAATATATACAGTATAAAAATACAATAAAATATAAATATATACAAAGTAGTTAAATACAAGAGAGTTTTAGAGGGAAGGTGCTAGCAGTTGTGGGTTTTAGGAAAAGTTTTATATAGAAGATTGTGTTTGAGCTGAGTCAAAAAGGAAGAGAGGAAATCTATGAGGTGGAGGTAAACGGGAAGTGTTTTAGAAATGGGGCCTGGACAGTGAAGAGGCACAGAGAGAGGAGATATATGTTAGGAATAGAGAGATTGCCATTTTAGCTTAATCATAAAGTGCTGGAGGGGGTATTATGTATAGGGGCAAGGTTGCATAGGGTAAGCTACACAGAGGAGTTTATTTTATTTTTTTATTTTGGAGGCAATAGGGGTTAAGAGACTTGCCCAGGGTCACACAGCTAGCTAGTAAGTGTCTGAGGCTGCATTTGTTTTTTTTTTTTTGTATGGGGACTAGTTTTATTAGCCTTTAAATAACAGAATAATGAGTTTGTATTTTATACTCAAAGCACTACAGCAGGGAGAGAAGTGTCTACAATAAGATGTTTCCAAAAATTACTTTTTGATACTAATGTATTAATACTAAGTTTTACTAATTTTGCTACTATGACTATTTTTAAGGCTAAATTACTAATAATAGTAATAATAACTGATGTTTTCATCAGGATTTCAAAGCACTTTAAATACATACCTCATTTGAGTCTCCCAGTAAAAACCTTGTTAGGTGCTATTATTATTCCCATTTTACAGATGAAGAAAATGAAGCTCAGAGTGGCTTAGTGACTTGACCAAGGTTGTAGAACTTGTAAGTGGCTAAGGACGGACAGAAAACGTTGTTCTCCATTGCACATATGTATTTATTTTGTGATAAGTCAACTTACGTAGGTAACAGTGAAGGCTCCAAGCCAGTATGGTGGATTGGTGGCTACCTCCACCAACACACAAGAATGATGGAAAATGGGCTTCATTAATAATTCTCTTTATCTATCTAACGCTTAATAATGCAAATGACTTGCCACCAATGCGCCTGAATATTTTGCTGAGGCTGCATTTGAACTCAGGTCCTCCTGACTCCAAGGCCCTTACTTTATCCACTGCACCATCTAGCTGCCCCCTACAGAGGATTTTATATTTATATTTGGATGAGTGAAGAAATAACATAGTAAGAACTTCACTTAAGGAAAAACACTCTGGTAGCAGTGTATATGATGGCCTAGACTGGTGAGAAAATTAAGAAAGGGAGATTAAGGGGTAGCTAAGTGGCGCAGTGGATAGAGCACCGGCCCTAAAGTCAGGAGGACCTGAGTTCAAATCTAGCTTCAGACCAAACATTTGACACTTACTAGCAGTAAGGCCCTGGGCAAGTCACTTAACCCCAATTGCCTAAAAAAAAAAAAATTCTAAAAAAAGAAAGGGAGATTAATTTAAGAGGCCATTGTGATAATTTAGGCAAGAGTCGATGAGGGCTTTAACTAAGGTGGTGCCTGTGGGAGTAGAGAGGAAGCAGATGTGAGAGATGTAGAAACAAAATTTGGCAACCTATTGTTTGGGTATTTCAGGTGAGGGAGACTGAGAGTTGAGGAGATGAATCCCAAATTGCAAAAATGAATGATGAGAAGATCAGGATCATCTTTGACAAAATTGATAAGTTTGGGAGATGGGTAAGTTTAGAAGAAAAGATAATAAGCTCTGTTTTGGACATGTTGAGTTAAAGATGTCTCTGGTACATCCAGTTTGAAATGTCCAATAGTTAATTAGTAATTTGGCACTGAGCTCATAGGGAGAGGAATTACAGAATAACTGGGGATGAAGGTGGGAGGGGGTGGGTTCAGTACACTAGAACTACCATAATTTGGACTGAATGCCTAATCAGCCACATGCTTCCTTGTTTAGCGAATTAATTATTTGTTCCTTACTCAAGTCTCTTTATTGTCAAAAACTTATTTGAATAGATTAGTAGAGCAGAGTAAATACTGTATCAATATATACAAAGTAGTTTTAGGGGGAGGATGCTAGTAGCTTGTGGGTATTAGGAAAACCTTCATGAGGAGGATTTTGTTTGAGTTGTATCAGAAAGGAAGAGAGGAACTTTATGAGGTGGAGGTTAAGAGGGGAGAAGAATCTTGGCAAATTATGGAAGCATCATGGTCAGCTCCGCAACTTCCTTTTGAACAAAAAATTATAATAGTATGGCATTATACTGTCCAAAACCATAAGGGTAACCTGAATACAAGATAACTGTTGTAATTTCATCAATGTAGGGGACTCCCAGTATGAGAACTCTCTCTTCTGAGATAGATTTATGTTTTTATTCCAGTTGCCCTGGACATGGAGAGATCAAACAATTTGCCCATGGTCATAAAGATCCAGGATTTTAACCTTACACTCAGGTAAAAGCCACCTCCCATCTACTATGTCTCATTCATTATTTACTTTGGTAAAAATTTTCTTTTCAACATTCCCATAGACTAACTATGTAATGATGTTTTCAGCCAGATTTGTTTTTATGCTTTTTGGGTGCAAAAGTATGCTCTGACTATTTCTCCCTCTTACATTTTTAGTCCCATGAAAAATGTACCATACAAACCCGAGATCTTTCAAGATTCTTGGAATCTCCTCTTCAAACTTACTATCAGGAAGCTCATAAGAAGGCGATAAGAAGTCAAAAATAAAAGTGAAGATCTTTAGGAAGTCTTTAACAGATGGACTTTGTAGAGATTTCATGTTCACACTGAAGGCATAGCCATTTTCTGTAAGAAACTATAAGAATTGTTATTTTTTTTAAAAGGATAAACTATTTGCTGATTGAAAATCTCCTAAGCAAACAGTTGGAACTTAAAACATCAGTTGGCAGAATACCTCACAGAGTTGTCGAATATACTGTTGAATGAATGCTTTGTCATTAAGTGGTCTAGGGTCTTTGATTTTTTCAACACCGCCAAATATACCAAGCAAACTGTTCCGGGATCCAGGTCCACTAGTTCTGGAAATAAACAAAAGTAATGAAAATAATCTTTTCTGTTCCTCTACATGTATACTGTCTTAGCCAAATCTAGATTAACAGAAGTTTACTTTGACTTAAAAACTATTTCAAAAAGGAGGAAGTACAATTTTACTTAACTCTTTAGAAAAGGAATGGGAAGAGAGGTATTTTTCTTATATCTATAATGTCACAGCACTGTTTCAATTCCTTGGTGGTGGTTATTTTTTGTTTGTGCCATAATACATATTGTTTTCTTGGTTCTGCTGACTTCATTTTGCAGTGGTTAGTATAAGACTTGCCATGCTTCCCTACACTCACCATGCTCATTGATTATAATGGGATATTACTGTGCTGTAGGAAATGATGTACCAAAATTGGTTTAGCCATTTCCAAACAATAGATATCTACTTTGTTTCCAGTTCTCTGCTACCACAAAAAGTGTTACTGTAAATATTTTGGTGTCTGTAGAGCCTTTCTTTTTTGTCAATGACCACTTAGCAGTAGAATAGCTAGGTCCAAGTATATGAACATTTTAGTCATTTTATTTTCATAATTCCAAATTCATTATTAAAGAATGGTTGGTGGCGCAGTGGATAGAGCACTGGCCCTGAAGTCAGGAGGACATGAGTTCAAATTCGGCCTCAGACACATAACACTCACTAGCTGTGTGACTCTGGACAAGTCACTTAACCCCAATTGCCCTCACAAAAAAAAAAAGAATGGTGGGACTAATTCACAACCCCACCAACAATGTACATACATACATACATACTAATGTATATTAATCTGTCCATAACCCTCCATATTGACTGTTTTCATGTTTTGTAATTTTTGCCAATTTGCCCAGTATGAGGTGAAACTTGAGGGTTGTTTTGATATGCTTTTCTCTTATTTTTAGTGACTTAGAGTATTATTTCACATGGTTAATAGTTTGCTTTTATTTTTAGAATTACTTGTTTATATTCTTCAACTACTCTATTGGGGAATGAGTTTTGGTCCTATATATCAAAACCTCATGAGATATTTTGACAAAAAGATTTTTTCCCTTCTTATCCTAGGTCCTTTCTGTTTCTACAAAAGTTTTTCAATTTAATTTAAACAAAATGATTTATTTTACCTTTCGCAATTGCTTACATTTTGCTTATTTTCTGCAAAAAACTCCAGGACAGTCTTTTTTCTCAAGTCAAAAAAGAGTTGGGTTGGCACTAAAATTATTATATTACTCCCCTTAAATCTTTTTTCCCCCTCCTAATCTCTGAAAATCTGTTTTTTTGAAGAAGTATTTTGCAGTAGAATGGCTGAAGATTATTCTTTAGTCATTCTAGCAAACTCTACTTTTCTTAATTGGCCAGTGAATTTAAAAAGAACACAAACTCCCTATTGTTGAACCTTTTATATATAATAATAGCTAACATTTTTATGGCGCTTTATAGTTTACAAAACACCTTACATATATTGTATCTAATTTTATTTTTATAACAACCCGGTATGGTAGGTACTATTATGTTCCTCATTTTTAAATATGAACAAACTGAGGCTGATAAAGGCTAAGTGACTTTCAGTAAGCATCTATGATGGGATTTGAACTTGGGTTTCCTGACTTCAAATCAAATGTCATTATGACCATCATCATTATTACTATTATCATTATTAATGATAGCTAGAGTTTATATTGCACTTTAAGGTTTGCAAAGCGTGTTGCAAGTATTATTTTTTTTTTATTCTCACAACAACCCTGAGAGTTAGGTGCTATTATTATCCATATTTTACAGATGAGGAAACTATAACAGTCAAACTGAGACTCTCCATAACTTTGAACTGGCTGTCCACAATGGACAATGCACTCCCTCCTTACCTCTGTTTCCAAGAATTCCTAGTTTATTTCAAGACTCCACTCACATGCCACATCCTATAGAAAGTCTTTTCTGATACCCTTCCTCCCTTCCTCCAGCTGTGAGTGCCATCTTAATTCTGAAATTGCCTAATATTTACTTATCTGTGAGGATGTTGGTTCACCCTTGGACCACTTTGTTTTTGACTTTGTATCCCTAACACTTAGCTCAGTGCTTTGTAGTCACTTAACAAATGTCTGTTGAATTGTTTTTTGAAGCTAATTTTTAGTTGAAAGTAATTTTATCCCTCATTTTCACTTGCTGCCACCTACCTTTCAGATATCAAAGTGTTAGAATTTTGGAAGGACCTTAGAAAGAGGCAGTTTAGCATATAGATTTTACTGATATGGAAACTGAGAGGTTAATGACTTATCCAAAGTTACATTATGAGTAATAAAACTTGACTAGAACCCAGATCTTATTCAGCCCGTCTTTATTTTCACTACAGTATAAATTCCCTTTTGTGCTCTTTTCTCTATTTGATCTCTTCTAAGTATCCATGGATATTCAGTTTTTTTCTGTGTGCTACAAATAATACATTTCTTTCAGTAATGTATACCAATACTTTAAATGAATTAATAATGCAGTAATTTAAATTCTCAATTCCCAAAGAACTAAAGAATGAATTAGCTCTCTAGAAAACAAAAAACAGATCTCTCTTATCTAGGATCCAATTCAAAAATTTCATGGAAGGCAAAACATATCTCTTATTTCATATAATTTTGTGAAACATATGACCACCCCCTCACAATAAAAAAAATTAAATGTTCTTTTATGAATAAACCATTATAACTTTGTTTAGAAGCTACTATCTTTCATACACTTACTGACATACTGGATAGGCAGCTAGATAGTACAATAGATAAAGTGCCCAATGTGCAGCCAGAAAACCCTTGGTTCAAATCCTGCTTTAGATACTTATCATCTATGTTTCTCTGGGCAAATCATTTAACCTTGCTGTGCCTCAGTTTCCTTATCTGTAAAATTGGATAACAGCACCTTCTTCAGGGTTATTTTGAGTTAATATATGTTAAATGAGTTAATATATCTTAAGGGGCTTTGCAAACCTTAAAGAGTTATATAAATATTAGCTATTAACTATGATCTCTGGGAGCTTGCATCTTTGATCATTTTCTCTATTTCGGTAATCTTCAATCTCTCCTTATCCACTGTCTCTACATTTGCTTTGTATAAATATGCTCAGGTATCATCTATCAAGAAAACAGAAACCAAAACTTTTCAACCTTGTCACACCTTTAAGCTGTTCTCTACCTTTCCTCATTTCTGTAGCCAGAAGGCTGTTGACACTCCTTTTCTTATCTCTTCACTTTCTACTTTTTAGCTCTTTGAAATCAAGTTTCTACTGTCTTCAAGGTTACCAGCAACCTCTTTTAACGTTAAATCTAATAGCTTTTTCTTAGTTCCTATACTTCTAGAGACCTCAGTACTTCTGGATTGCCAACCCCCATCCTGAATACTCTATCTTTTCCCAGTATTTTTCATGATGCTATTCTCTTGGTCATCTTCTTACCTGTTAAGAGTTTCTCCCGAGTTTCTGTCTTAGGCCCTCTTCTGTTTCTACACTCTCTTGGGATTTCATTAGCTACCATGGTTTTAATTACTCTCTACCTGGACAACCGGTAAAGCTGTATATTCCAGTTCTAATTTCTCTCCTGAACTCCAGCCCTGTGTTACTGCTTATTGATATCTCTATCTGCACGTTGTATAGGTTATCTCAAACCCAACATGTCCAAAACATAACTAATTATATATTCCCCCCAACCCATTTCTCCTCCTTATTTTTGATTCTGTTGATGGGTATCACCCACCATCTTTCTAGTCACCCAAAGTTGCAACCTTGGACTCTTCCTTCTCTCAACATCCATGTCTAATGTGCCATCTATTGTAGATTCTACCTTTGCAATTCCTCTCACATCTACCCCTTTCTCTTTACTTACACAAGTTTCTTCTCTAGTTTAGGAATATATCATTTCTGTCCTAGACTGGCACAACAGCCTAATGCTATTTAGGCTCCCTGCTTTCAGTCTCTCTCCTTTCTTTCCTTTTTTTTTTTTTTGGTAGGCAATGGGGTTAAATGACTTGCCCAGGTTCACACAGCTAGTAAATGTCAAGTGTCTGAGGCTGGATTTGAACTCAGGTCCTCCAGCTCCAGGGCCAGTGCTCTATCCACTGCGCCACCTAGCTTATGTCTCTCTCCTTTCTAACCCATATTCTACACAGCTGTCACATTAACATTCCTAAATTGTAGGTCACTCTCCTAGTCAACTTTCATGATCTCCGTATTGCCTCGAGATTAAAATGGAACTCTTCAGCTTGGGATTTAAAGGCCTCCATAACCTGGCTGCAATCTACCTTTTTAGATTTATACTGTAGGTTCCAGCTTAACTGGCTACAGAGGCTGTGTCTTATACTGCTTTTGGATCCTCAAAACCACAATACAGTGCCAGGCATGTGGAACATATTCAATAAATATTTTTTGCTGGATTGGAAAAAAAAAAGCCAATATTAATATTACCTTTTACCAAAGAAGCTGATTTTCCTTTCAGAAGTGGATGTGCCAGGTGTAAGTCTACTTGTATTTAACTTCCCAAAGGTTGGTCTTTCTTTCCTTTAAGAAAAAAGAAATTATAACTCTATAAAACAAAATTCTCTAGAAATAAATGCAATTTCACTGTTTATTATGATGCAACTGCTTTTACTTAAGAACACACAACGGACTGTCAGAAAGAAACTACATCAGGCACTTTTTCACTTCTGATATAATTTCAAGTTTTGTCTTTCGGAGGAACCTGTGTTAGTTTTAAAATGACCAAAGTTTTGTTAAGAAGTTTTTTGCAACAGCAAACTCTACAATAGCCAGAAGTATAGAAGTTTCTAAACAGAAAGTAAAACTTAAGATTGAATTAAAACAATCAATAACAAGTGACGCTTAGTGTGAAGTACCATTTATCCCTAAGTGTTTGTATATAAAATACTTGTGAAAAGAAAGAATTTGGAGAAGGATTTTAAGTTTATACACATATATGCATGTGTGTGTGTGTCTGTATATAAATGCGTGAGTGTGTTTAATCAATATTTCTATTGTTTAGATTAGTGCTATTTTAGAGGCAGCCAAGTGGTTCAGTACGTAAGAGCTAGGCCTAGAGTCAGGAAGACAAGAGTTCAAATCTGGCCTCAGACATGTGACCCTAGGGCAAGTCACTTAACTTTTGTTTGCTTCAGTTCCTTCAAATATAAAATGAGGATAACAGCACCTATCCTGCAGGGTTGTTGTGAGGATCAAATGAAATACTTTTTGTAAAGGGCTTAGTATAGTGCCTAGCACATAGTAGGGGCTACACAAATTTTTATTCCCTTCCCCGACCCTATTCTAATGCTGCATGGAAGCAATAGTGGATTTTTGAAGACTCTGCAAACTTCAGTAAATTAGAAAAGCTTGAATATAGCAAAGAGACACACTACTGTTGTTCTTTTGTTGTTGTTTGTCCTTCGTTCTTGAAGAGAACCATGACACCAGGGACGTGATGCCATAACTTGCAAGGGAATTGGATTTAAGTGAGGGAGGGCTGTGCAAGGTTAACTGCCTCACTTTCTTCTCCAGAGCCCTCTGGGTCTACTGGCAAGACTGAGATCAGGAGGACTGGAGATGGCCCCTGATATACTGTGCTAGTCCTCTGAGGGATAGCCTAGTTAAGTTTGGAAAAAGCTCGTACCAAAATTTTAGCCTCCGGGTGAGTTTACAGCAATTTTTGCAGTTATACAACTTGTGAAGACTACTGTGGCAAACAGTGATGGAAGCAATACCTAAATTATGAAATAATGGATCCGTAAAGGATTGAAGCTGAATAAGCTGAAAAAGCATTTTATACTAAATCATATATATTCATACAGCACTTTACAGTTATAATTGGACAATGGAAATATTATCCTCATTTTTCTTTTTTCATTCTGAACATAATGGTATCTCTATTTCTCCTCTCACCCACCTCTCTTCCTCCTCCACAGTTCTTGCCTAATTTCCTTTTGAATTTGATGTTTTTTCCACACCAGATTTTGTGTTTGTTCAGTACTCTTTTGTACAGTTTAGGTGAAAGCAAGGTTTATATCAGGGAAGGGAATAAACATTTATATAGTGGCTACTATATGCCAGGCACTGAGCTAAACACTACAAATATTATCTCATTTGATCCTCACAATCAAACAACCCCAGGAGATAGGGTCTGTTTTTAACCCTCACTTTATAGTTGAGGAAAATGAGGCAAACTGAGGTTAAATGACTTGCCCTGGGTCACATAGCTGTTAAGTGTCTGGGGCTGAATTTGAACTCAGGTCTTCCAGACTCCAGGTCTAGTACTCTGTCCACTGAGCCACCTAGCTGCCTGTTATACCCACTTCCTCCACTGTCTTCTTTCATATACCCCAATTATATGAAATAGCAAGTTCCATCTCCTTAGTGTATTTCCTATTCCTTTTATTTTATTTTATTTTATTTAAGATCACCCAAACTGAACAAAACCACCACAAAGCCCTTGTCTTACTGAACACTCTGACCCTTGAAGACATTAGGACTTTGAGGGGACACTTGTCCCTTTCAACATACAGTCCTTTCCAACTGATCCAATTATTTGCCTTTCTAGCTTCCTCTTGGCTCTTGTGTTTGCATTTTAAATATTCTATTTAACTCTTGTCTTTTTAAAAATCAGGAATGCTTGAAGTCCTGTGTTTCAAGGTTCACCCAATCCCTCCTTTGCCCCACCCCCAGTCCTGCATAAATTATTTTTGGCTGTAAGACTGTATCTTTTGCCTTTGGAATACTTTATTCCAAGCTCTCCTGTCCTTTAAAACGGTAGCTGCCAAGTAGTGTATGAACCTGACTGTAGTTCCTTGGTACTTCAAAAGCTGTCTGCAGACAATATTTTTCTTTAACTTGGAAGTTCTGGATTTTGATTATGGTTCCCATGATATTCCTGAGGTTTTTTTCCAGGATGAATTCTATTTTCATTTTGCCTTCTGATTTTAATAGCTCTGAGCAATTTTTTTTTTATATGAGGCAGTTGGGGTTAAGTGACTTGCCCAGAGTCACACAGCTAGTGAGTGTTATGTGTCTTTGAACTCAGGTCCTCCTGATTCCAGTACCAGTGTTCTAGCCACTGCGCCACCTAGCTGCCCCTCTGTTGGAATGTGATATCCAAGTTTTTTTTCCTGATACATCTAATTATTCTTAGATCATTACTCCTCGGCCAGTTTTCTAGGTCAGTTGTTTTTGATCAGAGATACCTTACACTTTCTTCTATTTTTTGTCTTTTGATTTCAATAATTCTTACTTTTTAACAGAATCATGTATTTTATTTATTTATCCATTCCTTTATTTATTTTAGCTCATTCTCAGGGAGTCTTTTACTTGGGTAAGAATTCGTGCCTCTTCTACTAAACTGTTTATTCTCCTTCTAATTCTATCCTCTAGAGCAGAGGTGTCAAATTTGCAAGCCAACCAAGAGGCCTTCAGGAAACCAGATTAAAAAGTAACTGGGAAATGTTTAGCAAAATAAATAAAAATATAACACAACATAGATGTTAATAAGTGATTTTCTAAGTCAATATGCAGTCATAGAAATCTGTTTCTATTTGTTTGACACTACCACTCTAGAGCTCTCATTTCACTTATAAGATTATAAGATACTTTTTTATCTTCTTTCATCTCTTCCAGGAATTCTAATAGACCTTGAGGGCAAACTATCTGTAGCTCTGCCCATAAGTGCTATGCAGTGACTACCTTGTAGGCTTGTGTCTTAGACATCTGTTTATTTATATATCAAGTTTTGTTGCAGTCTCTCTCCCTCTCCTACCCCAAGTCAGAGATTTTGTCAGGGCTAAGCTGCAACTGGCTCCATGCGAGGATGCAATGGTAGGCTCTGTTTAGCTCTGATTCATATAGTCTGAGGTTCTGTCACAGACTCACCCCTCCAAAGGGACCTGCTTTGCATAAAGTGCTGGTGGGTCCCAGGCTTACAATATCCTTTGGATACAGAGCACTATATTCAGAGCGCTAAGCTCTTTGAGTTTGTCAGGGTTGGTTCTGTCCTGGAGCTGAAAACTTTTAGATCCCCTGCCTTTTCCCTAGGAGTTTTGCTAGCTATTTTGGTTCACACTCTGGGGGTATTTACCACCCCTCCCCACGTCCCTTCCCCACTAGAGTGCTCCTGTCTTCTGGCTAGGCATGCTCCATTGTGCTGGGGTCAACCAGGTCCAAGTGACCAAAGGGGACACTCAGAAGCCCAGAAGGGGATCCCAGGCAAAATAAGTGGAATGAGGCAAGACTTCCCTAGTGCTGTGCTTGCCTCATTCTAGTTCTTTTGTCTGCTTTTTAGGCTTCTGGGTGTCCTCTTTTGTAAACTGCGGTTAGATGACTATTTTCTAATCATTATTTGGTTTGGCATGCTTTTGTACTTTCTGCAGTACTTATGTGGAAACTGGGCTGATCTGCTACCTTTTACTGTACCACGTTGACCAAAGTCCCCTGTTATCCCCATTTTAAAGATGAAGAGACAAATAGGTAAGTAAATTATTGAAGGTTACACAGGTAGTAAGTGGTTGAGATAACATTCCATGGTGAATGACTATTAGAACTATTGTCATCGATTTTCATTCTGGTCTGATTGTCAAATACGTTGATATGAAAAGTGTGCTAAATGAAAGCATGCCAATTTACTGCAGGCCACGTGAAAAAGGTCATCTAATAATTGAATGTAAGATTGTCACAAGCCAAGTTTTCTAACTCTGGTGATCATATTTTTATAGAAAAGCAATAAAGAATGGTGTGATAAATAACTCTGAGATACTACTAACCAAGCTTGCAGAGTGTACTACTAACCAAAATTGAAGACACCCTCACCCACCTAGTGGCAGCTTTAGGAATTACAGGCATAGCACTTAGGAGGGCATAGGTAGTTTTTCTATGAATTACCATTATCTCTTCTAAATGAGAGCAAATCCTAGGTCTACCTTATAATAATCTAAATGATATGGTACATAATTTTCTGATAAACTGCATCTTAGTTTTAACCTATATTTAGATGACAACTGACACAGACGAAATATCCCCTTATGACACTAAATGTAGTTCAGTGTTCATTGACCGAAGATCAGGTTAAGGGGCTGTGAGAAGTGAGCAGTAGGCAGGCCTGAGTCCTTGCCACTCATCACAATATAATCTTCACTTTCAGAATCTTCCAATTGCACAGATTTCTTTCCCTCCAACACTAACACAGACAAGGATCAATGTCAGTAATACTTACGTTTGTGGGGTATAAAGACCTTGTTTATTGAAGTCCTGTGATCTCAAGGCCTGCATAGACTGGCGGCCAGCAGCACCAATGGAAACAGAGCTGCGCTTCATCCCTGTGAGCTGAGTAAATGAAATTAATGTTAGTGTGGAGAGGGGTGGGGAGGCGAGGGGGCAAAGTAATAAGTATGGAAGCAATTACCAACCTTCTTAAAAAAAAAATAGAAAGGTCACTGCTTCTGTCAATGAGACTTCTATTTACCTAGACTCTCATGCATAAAATCTCCTTCTAATTTTTCTTTCCTACTTCCCTTTGTCAAGGGCTCTTTTAAGATACTAAGTGCTGTTCATTTGACTGCTTGTAATGTCCTACTGCTAATCCCTCAGTGCTACCGCTTTAGTTCTGGGGCTTATTGTTCTGGGTTTGAATTATTGCAACAACCTTCTAACTGCTGATAAGCTTGTCCCACTTCAATCTGTTCCTCATACTGTTGATTTTTTGCCTTCTTTAGGAAGAGATTTCAAATGCTTTTTTTGTCTAAATTCCTTAGCCAGACATTCAAAGCTCTTTCTAGTATGGCACCTTTAGTCATATTATAGTCATACTGTGCTTCCCCACATACTCTATGTCAACAGTTCTTTACCTAGGATCTACAGAGTCTCAAGGGCTGTGCCACCTAGCTACCCTAAATACCTCTACACTTCTATTACCCTAATTATCTTTCTCTGTTCAGAATTGTTTTTTTTAATAATTAATTTATTTTTAGTTTTCAACATTCACTTCCATAAGATTTTGAGTTTTGAATTTTCCCTCCCTCCGTCTCCTGCCTCCTTCCCAAGATGGCATGCAATCTGATATAGGCTCTACTTATACATTCATATTAAGCATACATTTATATTAGTCATTGTGTAAAGAAGAATTAGAACTAATGGGAGCAACCATGAGAAAGAAATAAAACAAAACAACAAAAGGACAGCAAATAGTATGCTTCCATCTATATTCAGACTCCATCATTCTTTCTTTGGAAGTGGATAGCATTTTCTCTCACGAGACTTTTGGAATTGTCTTAGATCCTTACATTGCTGAGAAGAGCTAAGTTTATCAGTCAGTCATTGCACAATGTGGCTATTACTATGTACACTTCTCCTGGTTCTATTCATTTCACTCAGCATCAGCTCATATAAGACTTTCCAGGTTTTTCTGAAGTCCGCCAGCTCATCATTTCTGTACAACAGTATTCCATTACATTCACATGCTACAACTTGTTCAGCCATTCCCCAATTGATGGGCATCCCCTCAATTTCCAATTCTTGGCCACCACAAAAAGAGCTGCTATAAATATTTTTGTACATATGGGTCCTTTTCCTGTTTTCATGATCTCTTTGGGATACAGACCTAGAAGTGGTTCCTTGTTCAGAATTGTCATAGCATTTTATATCTTTCTTATGCACTATTTCGGATCATCATGGAGTAGCAAAATAATCAGACTGATTAATTTTTTTTTATCACATTTATGGTTAATTGATTTTGTCCTATAACTGCTGAAGTCATGATTTCTTTGTCTCTGAACTTAGTTCAGAAATTCAGCTATCCTATAACGAGTTAAGTTTAGAAATCCAGTTCTCCTATTAATCACTGTTTTATTCTTGTGTTAAGGAAATCTATAACCCTTGAAGGAGGCAGGTGGACACCAGGGAGTCTGATTCAGTACCTTTATGCCACCAAACTATCCTTCAAGGATGTCTGGTTTGTTACCAAAGAAATCTGGTTTGCCGTCTCTGTCCCTGCAGATGCACGTGCAGCTGGACTCAAACAATGATCATTTCTTAGTCACAGGTGGGAAGAAGGGGGTTGTTTGCTAGTCTTCATTCCCAATTGCCATCCAATCATATTTTCTTCCATTTATGATGCTAGCCTTCCTACTTTCTGTATGCCCCAAAACTATAAAAGCAAGCTGTCCCCCTCATTCAGGGTCTTAGCTTTGCTCAGGAAGCTGAGATCCTATTTATTGGTAAAGTTGTGCTTTATCAATAAATTGATTATGCTTGGAACTTTGTGCCTCAGTCTACCTTAATTTTAACTGTTACAGTAGTTTTCTTAATTCCTATTAGACTGTACTAAGCAAGAAGCCAGCGAAACAATGTATGTAAACTCTGTAAATTGTCAAGTGCTATACAGCTGTCAGTTAAAGTTATTCCTCAAAGGTGGAATTTTGCTTTATCCATCTTTGTATCATCCTCACGGCTCAGTGCAATTCTAGGGACATGGTGTTTCTTATGAATCTGATAAATGTTCTCATTTTGATCATCGACTCTAGATTTGATATACTGCTCATCTTTGATTAATTCAGTTTTTAATAGCAAAAAGGGAAAAAAGCACTTTTCAAGCTTATAACAATAGCTACACCATTTTCTTTTTTAAAAGTTTCCAGTGGAGAAACCATTGCCTTTCATTACATTTAAAACTCTTTCACATGTTGTTTACTATGGGCACAGAGCTGAGTCATATAAATAAGAAAACCAACAATCCTTACTAACAAAGAACTCACAAGCTGATTGGCAAGATGAGTAATTTCAGAAAGTGGTACAACATAATAAGAGGCAAAGGAGAGATTAAAACAAAGTGCTGGGGTAACATTTGAGGAGAGATGTCTTTTTCCTGTTGTCCTTTTCATTTTCTCCTGTAATTCAAATGTCTCTTTAGCAACGTACTCTGGGGATAAGAAGGCGTAAAATTAAAGACAAAACCCACAGAAATTGTTTATATGGGTTAACAAGATATAGGTGGTCTATGCAGACTAGAATCCTACAGAGATGGGTCTTATTTTGAGATCCCTGGGTCTAGAAGACTGGTTCCAGACCAGGTTCCTTTTTGTGGCTCCCTGACAGTAACAGACACCTAGCCAGTATTTTGAGATGTCCAAAGTGTTATAAAACATAAATTATGTCATTTAAGTATAATGCTGTGAGGTATGTACTATAGGTATTAGTTATTATTACATTTTGCAGAGTAACAATTTGCCCAAACCATAGTGTGCATGAAGGGGAGAAATACATAATGAGATTGTAAAGATAGGGAGTAATTTTTAATAAAGCTGGTAAGGTCCTATAGAATCTCAGAGTTTTGAGGCCATCTCTTCTAATAAAAATTCTAAACAAAAATTCCCTTACCACTTTCCGCATCATAACTGACAAGATGGTTATCCAGCTTTTGCGTGAAGACTTTTTGAGGGGGAGCCTGCTAACTTCCAGAACAGCTCATTCTACTTTCAGATAGTTTATCAAGTCTTATTTTAAATATTTTAAATTTTTTTCCCAATTGCACATAAAAACAATTTTAACATCCTCCCTCCAATTTTGAGTTCCAAATTTTTTTCTTCCCTCCTCTCCCCCGTTCATTGAGAAGACAAGCAATTTGAAAGAGTTTTATTTTAAACCAGTGATAACCCTGAAGGTCCCTGTAATTGATTCTGTGTCTACCTCATCTCCTCATATGTGAGGTTCCTGGGATGTAAACCATCTTTAATTTAACAGGTTAATCCTGGATATCAGATGTGAGATTCAAATCCAGGTTTTTCTCCTCTTTTGAGTGATATTTCAAGCCCCTCACATTATTCTATGGGCTCATTACACATTTCTCTCCCTTATACATCCTTCTTTCCAGCCAAAGTAACCTGTTTATTGTATATATCATTCTATCTCCATGTTTATTACCTTTTCCCAGGATGTCTTCTCATTTCTGGAATGTACTCCTTACCTCTCTGCTTCTTAGAATCCTTAGCTTCTTTCTGAAGCTCACCTTAAAGCTCACAGGATTCCCCAGATATAAGTGCTCCCTTCTCTCAATTTACCCAATTTTTTTTTTAAATGGCAGCTGAATGGTGCAGTGGTTAGAAGGCTGGACATGGCCTCAGGAAGACCTGAGTTCGGATTTGGATTCAGTTACTTACTAGCTAAGTGATCCTCACCCTTTGCTTCAGATTTGTCATCTGCAAAATGGGGATAATAACAGCACCTACCTCTCAGGGTTGTTGGGATGAGATATTTGTAAGGAATTTGGCAAATCTTAAGGCGCTATATAAAAACTAGCTATCATTTTTATTAACATGGTGTTTATCCCAATAGAATGTAAGCTCCCTGGCACTCTCATTTGTCTCCATATCCCCAGTGCCTAGGATCTAGTAAGGCTTTAAGAAACGATTGCTGAATGAACATATGACAAGTCCAGTACTCTATCCACCACATAATTCTGTGTCCCAAGGTCTAGTGCCAGCTCACCATTGAACTTCCTTTGCCACCTTCATCACTTCTCACAGGGTCTCATGCAATAATCCCCTAACTGGGTCTCCCTGTCTCAAGTCTGTCCTCATTCCAATTGGCCCTTAAACAGTAGCCAGAATGATTTTCCTAAAGTACAGATCTGACTATGTCACTCTGCTACTCAATAAATAAAATGCACTGCCTCCAGTACAAAATATAGATTCCTATTTGGTATTTAAAGCCCTTCACAGCATGCCTTCAATTTATCTTTACTCCCTTTACACATTACTCCCATTCCCTTACACATTAGTTATGCTAAACTGGCCTTCTTGTTCCTCCTTACACATAATACTCCATATCTACTATCTCTACTCTCATCTTAACTCTAAGATCCCCTCTTTTCCAAAGTGCCACCATCTATTATGAAACCCTTCCTGATACCCTCCAGTTGCTAATGCCTTTCCCACAAAATTAACTTACATTTTGTATCTACTTATATAAGTTCTCACTTACATAATTTGAGGGAGCAGTGACAGTTTCAATTTTGCCTTTGTGTACCCTAGGACATTAGTAGTAGGTACTTAATAAAATATTTGACAATTGATTAGTATTAATAATGTTCACTTAAATATGAGTTGAATAAAGCAAAAATGCTTTTAGTGTTAGTTGTATTTAGCATTAGTATTTAATTTAGTATTAGCTGAATAAAGCAGAAAGACTTTTTCTAGTCTCCAGTTCCCAAAAGACTTAGTTCCATTTCCCTGGTTAACACTGTAACAATTTTATCCCAGGATCCAGTTTCTACCAAGCTGCTTCCCTTTTCTCACTTACTGTCCTGTATTCTACTTCGAGGTGTTTGGTGGGAGCCAGACAGCTTTGCAACAGAGCTAGAAGGGACAGTGGGGATCACGTCGTCAAGACTCCTCATGCATAGTGCAGAATAAGAAGCTGCGACTCAGACAGATGAAGCTCAAACAGGTGATAAGTGGCAGATCAGAACTTGGACCCACAACACCTCTGGCTGCAGAATGCAATGCTCTTTCTATTCCACCTGGGCCAAAAAGCACCCATGCCCCCTGCAATCCATCCCCCCACCCCCAGCTGTCTCACTGACTTTCCTAAAGCACAGTTCCTCTACTCAGTAAATTTCAGTGGCTCCATATTAGCCCCATGATCAAATATAAAAGCTGCTTGACTTTTAAAGGCTTTCCTACCTTTCTAGTTTTCTTGCACTTTAAGAGTAAGACAGACACGGGTACTTGGAACGAGGAGGGCAGGGGCCGGGAAGGATCCTGGAGCCGCCAAACACCAGGACCACAGCAACACCCCCGCCTCCGGCGCGGCTGCCGCCTATCCGCTTCGAATTTTTAAAATAACCGCGGCATCTTTCGTCATCGCGTCACGACGGGCGCGCTCTCCGTGCGTGCGTTTTTCTCCCACTCTACGCTCAAGTGCCAAAGGGCGCGCTCGCCTAGTCTCTGTCGCGCTCTACCTACCCGCTCGCTCGCGCGCCCGCAAACGAGCTCTTCTGCCACGCCTACCTAAACGCGAGTCCGTGAGATGCGTGCGGAGAGCCGGAAAAGGCCCCGGAAATAGCCTTTCCGTACAGCAACATGGCTGCGCCCATGACTGAAGAAGGAGAAAGAAATCACTCGTCTTTGCTGTGAACGGGGTGTTTGATTCTTTTCTCCGGCTCCATTGTATGGTGATGTAGATTTCCTGCGAGAATTCAGAGGAGGATTATCGCCTTTTCTGGAGGGAGGAGAGAACGGGAGGTGTATGGCTGCACTCATGTTGACTTGAGGTTTAGGGGCTTGGAACTGATAGTTGGTGCCAATTTAAGTGTGTGTGTGTGTGTGGTGTGTGTGTGTGTGTGTGTGTGTGTGTGTGTGTGTGTGTGTGTGTGTCTACACCGAGAGTGGGAGTCCATTACGGAGGCCAGGGTGGGGTGGGTGACAGGCGATTTACGCCCTAAAGGAGAAAGAGGATCGGGCCAGAGGCAGGTTGCCATATGATGCCTGTGCTTTCAGCGGCCCCAGGACCCCTAGTGCACACTTTCACCAGTGTCTTCCCCACCGCACCCCCTCAAATTCCACTCGAGATGTTAGCATTTTCACCCGGGGTGTCTCCTAGCGTGGGAAGAGAGGCAGCGGTGATGCAAATGCAAAGAACCTTGAATTTGGGATTATGGGAGCCTATATTTAGAGCTAGAAGCGAGTTTAGAGGGATTGTAGTCCAACCTTTTTTTATGGATGAGGAAGGATCAGTCAGTCATTACATAAACATTCATTAAGCGCCTACTATGTGCGGGACATTATGCCAAGCCCTGGGGACACAAAACAAAGTATGAGACTTCCTGCCCTCCAGGAGCTCACAATCTAATAGGGGAGACTGTGCGAACAGCTATGAACCAACTAGGAGGAGAAAATAAGGAGAAAATTTGAAACAATCAACAGGTGGAAGGTACTGGCATTAAGAGGAATCAGGAAAGGAGGTGTTTTAGCTGCGATTTGGAGGAAGTCAGGGAAGCCAGGAGGCAGAGATGAAGAGGGACAACATTCCCTGCTTGAGGACAGCCAGAATGCCAAGGGTTTTATGTGAAGAACAGCAGGGAGGCCAGTATTACTGGATTGTAAAGTGAGGGTAAGTAAGGTGTAAGAAGACTGGAAAGGTAGGAAGGGGACAGGTTATGCAGGGCTTTGAATGCCGAAAAGGATTTTCTGTCTGATCCTGGAGGTGATAAGGAGCCACTGGAGTTTATCTAGGGAAGGGTGTGTGTGGTGGTGGTGGTGTGCCATAATCAGACATGTGTATTAGGAAAATCACAGATAGCTGAGTGGAGCAGGGACTGGAATGTGAAGAGACTTTTTGCAGACAGACCAATCAGCAGGCTTTTGCAATAGATCAAGCTTGACCTGATAAAAGTCCTGCACCTGGGTGGTGGCAGTATTAGAGGAGAGAAGAGGAAGAGAAGGGAAGGGAGCAAGCATCTGTTAATCACCTGCTATGTGCCAGGCACTCTGCTAATTGCTTTATAGACATCTCATTTGATTCTCACAATAACCCTGGGAGGTAGGTGCCATTATCCCCATTTCACAGAGGAAACTGAGGCAGATAGAGGTTAAATGACTTGCTGGGGGCCACCGAACTAGTAAGTGTCTGAGAAGAGATTTGAAACTCCTGACATCAGGCCCAGCACATTACCCACTGCCCCACCTTGATGTCTAGTTGGCAGTGGGAAAAGGACAGTGTAGCTAGTGCAGGGGTGATAGCCTGGGAAAGAATTGAGGGCTTGAGAGATTGGAGGTCATGATGTGGATGAAGAATAAGATTTGGGATTGCAAAGCAGAAGAAAAGGAAAAGACAATAGACTGATCAGATAAGGGAATTTCAGAGTTCATAAATGTGGAGATGGAGGCTTTATGAATTTGTAGGTGATGCAAGATCAAGGGTATCACCATCTTTGTGTGTGGCTGAGTTGGGGTGGAGTAGTAGGTCATGTGAAATTAGCAGACTGAGGAACTGTTATGTTATGTTACTTGAGGCAGTATCTATATATTAAAGTCCCCTAGTGTGAGGAAAGGAGTTGGGGAAGAGAGAAAGACTGTGAGCCAGGCACTGAACTCATTGAGGAAAGAAAGGAAGTGTCCTGGAGGTCTGTTGGTAACAGCTATCAGAATTTATTTGGGTGGTACGTAAGATAGAATGAACCTCGAAGGAGCTGAGGTTTCTGAGTGATGGTGGTAGAAGGAAAGCCTAAAAGTAGCAGTGGGGAAGCAAGGAGAATTCCAATACTCCAACCTAGACCAGTGAGCCAAGGAGGAATGAGTGAAGAAGGTAAATCCAGTGTTGAAAAGGGAAGCCAAGGAGGCTGTCATCAGGAGAGAGCCTGATTTCAGTGAGAGCTGGAGGATGGAGGAAATTGAAAGAAAAAGATTTAAGATGAAGTCAAGTCTGTTGTCTATAATGCAAGTATTCCAGAGGGTTCAGTGCTAAAGGTGGGTAGTTTTAGAGTGGTATATTGGGGAGGAGGTATGTTGAGGGGAATGAGAATAAGGGATCAGATAGTGGGAGTGTGGGAATGGGGTTTGAATAATGATCACCAGGGGTTCAGGATCTCTGGGTTGGGGAGGATATGATTAGGGGATAGTTTGTTAATTATTGAGGAAAGAATTTAAATAGATATTCATTGTCTATGGGGGTTTGGCTTCAAGGTGAAATCCTCTGTGGGCCTCACCAGAAAAGGTGAAGTCACTTGCCTAAGATCACACAGGTGGATACTTCCAGTGGACTCCCATTGGAAGGGTGCTCTCCCTATGCCATACTGCAGGAGAACTGAGTTCTAGTCTTTGTATTCTTGTTAGTTAGCAATGTGACCCAGAGCAAGCTACCTACCTTCCCTGGGAGGTCCTTTTCCTCATTTATAAAATGAGGAAGATTAGGTGACTTTTTAAGTAGGAGTCAAATGAGTTGGTTGTTGGCACCTATCCCAAAGTTTAGGAAGTATTTTTAGGGAAAGAAAAAATAGCATGTTGCTTGAGGGCACTGGTTCCTAAATTTGGGTCATAAAAGGTCTACAAAAGCATCTTGAAAAGAGCATATCTAGCAAGTGCAGTTCCTAGATAGTATATGTAAGGAATCAACTGTCAGTCAACAAGCACTTATTTTTTAAATTAACTTTTTTTTCTCCCTCCCAACTCGTCCTTTTCTCTCCTTCCCCCCAAAGAAAGACAAAACCCTTGTAACAAATATGCATAGTTGAGCAAAATAAATTGCCAAATTGACCATATTTAAAAACAAACAAACCAAAAAACCCCACCATATTTCAGATTTATACCTTGGGCCTTATTATCTTTCTATCAGGGAGTAGCTAGCATTCTTTATCATGCCCCTCTGTAATCATGTTTAATTATCACAGCCAAAGTTCTTAAGTCTTGTTCCTTTTTTACAATTATGTTATTGTAGAAATTGCTTTGTTCTGCTTGATTTATTCTGCATCAGTTCATACAAGGTTTCCCAGATTTCTCTGAAATTGTCCCCTTCATCATTTTTTATGGCACAACAGTACTTTATTACATTCATATATCATTTTTTTCAGCCATTCCATGATTGAGTGGCACTATCTTTGTTTCTAGTTTTTTTTCCACTACAAAAATAACTACTATACACATTTCTGTGTGTATAGGACTTTTTCTTCTTTCTTTGCTCTCTTTGGGGATTATAGTGGTATTGCTAGGTCAGAAGGTATGCACATTGTAATAATTTTTTGAGCTTAGTTCTAAGTTGCTTTCAGAATGGCTGAACCAATTCATAGGTCCACCTACAGTGAATCGATGTACCTGCTTTCTAGCCCCCTCTTCAATATTTGCCATTTTCCTTTTCTGTCATTTTTGACAATCTAGTCAGTGTGAGGTGGAACCTCAGAGTTGTTTATTATGCATTTCTCTAATTATTAGTGATTTGGAGCATTCTTTCCATGGCTATAGATTGAGTTTCTACCCTTGAGAACTGCTTGTTTATATCTTTTAACCGTTTATCTATTGGGAAATGATTCTTATAAATTTGAATTAGTTCCTTATGTATCTTGGAAATGAGACCCTTATCAGAGAAATTTACTATGAAATTTCTTTTTCCAGTATCTCTTTCTTTTCTAGTTTTAATTTCATTGTCTTTGTTTGTACAAAAACTTTTAAATTTTAATATAATCAAAATTATCCTTTTTATCTTTTGTGAACTTTTCTATCCATTGTTTAGTCTGTCCCCTACCCATATATCTGAAATGTAAGTTCTTCCTTGCTCTTCTAATTTGTTTATGATATAACCGTTTTTAATCTAGGTTATTTATCCATTTGGAGCTTATCTAGGTATATTGTGTGAAGTTCAACAAGCGTTCAGAAAGTGCTTATAACGTGCTAGGCATTATGCTAAGTGTTGAAGATAGAAGAAGGGAAAGGAAAAGAAGAGAAAGGGGGAGAAGAAGCATTTGTAGAGTGCCTACTATATTCCAGACACTTAAAAGTATCTCATTTCATTCTTACAGCAACCCTGTGAAGTAGATGCTATTATTATCCTCATTTTACAGTTGAGGACAAAGTGACTGGCCCAGGATAACACAGCTAGTAAGTATCCGAGGCTGTATTTGAACTCAAGTCTTCCTGACTCCGGCCCAGTGCTCTGTCCACTGTGCCACCTAGCAAAAATTTCATTCTTAACCTGAATGTGTTACTCCCATTCTGATGAGGGAGACAACATGTTAAAACAAAACAAAACAAAACAAACTATGTAGATGCAAGATATGTACAGTCAATTTTAGTAAAGGTCCATTTCAGGGTAGAAATGTCATGATTCTAAAAAATAGTCCT